AGATTTAGTAAAGGACAAGGACGACGTTCACATCCATCGTTCCAAGTTTATTTAGGCAATAAATTCTGCTCAGAGTGGAGCGCAGGCTCTGCTGACTTGATATAGGGTGTGCTAATGAATGCAAAAGAAACAGCCGACAAATCCAGTGCAAGCCCTGGATTGGCTTGGATTGAGGGCACGAGACTAGGCTAGATCCAGTTAGAGCTACTAGATTTAGTAAAGGACAAGGACGACGTTCACATCCATCGTTCCAAGTTTATTTAGGCAATAAATTCTGCTCAGAGTGGAGCGCAGGCTCTGCTGACTTGATATAGGGTGTGCTAATGAATGCAAAAGAAACAGCCGACAAATCCAGTGCAAGCCCTGGATTGGCTTGGATTGAGGGCACGAGACTAGGCTAGATCCAGTTAGAGCTACTAGATTTAGTAAAGGACAAGGACGACGTTCACATCCATCGTTCCAAGTTTATTTAGGCAATAAATTCTGCTCAGAGTGGAGCGCAGGCTCTGCTGACTTGATATAGGGTGTGCTAATGAATGCAAAAGAAACAGCCGACAAATCCAGTGCAAGCCCTGGATTGGCTTGGATTGAGGGCACGAGACTAGGCTAGATCCAGTTAGAGCTACTAGATTTAGTAAAGGACAAGGACGACGTTCACATCCATCGTTCCAAGTTTATTTAGGCAATAAATTCTGCTCAGAGTGGAGCGAAGGCTCTGCTGACTTGATATAGGGTGTGCTAATGAATGCAAAAGAAACAGCCGACAAATCCAGTGCAAGCCCTGGATTGGCTTGGATTGAGGGCACGAGACTAGGCTAGATCCAGTTAGAGCTACTAGATTTAGTAAAGGACAAGGACGACGTTCACATCCATCGTTCCAAGTTTATTTAGGCAATAAATTCTGCTCAGAGTGGAGCGCAGGCTCTGCTGACTTGATATAGGGTGTGCTAATGAATGCAAAAGAAACAGCCGACAAATCCAGTGCAAGCCCTGGATTGGCTTGGATTGAGGGCACGAGACTAGGCTAGATCCAGTTAGAGCTACTAGATTTAGTAAAGGACAAGGACGACGTTCACATCCATCGTTCCAAGTTTATTTAGGCAATAAATTCTGCTCAGAGTGGAGCGCAGGCTCTGCTGACTTGATATAGGGTGTGCTAATGAATGCAAAAGAAACAGCCGACAAATCCAGTGCAAGCCCTGGATTGGCTTGGATTGAGGGCACGAGACTAGGCTAGATCCAGTTAGAGCTACTAGATTTAGTAAAGGACAAGGACGACGTTCACATCCATCGTTCCAAGTTTATTTAGGCAATAAATTCTGCTCAGAGTGGAGCGAAGGCTCTGCTGACTTGATATAGGGTGTGCTAATGAATGCAAAAGAAACAGCCGACAAATCCAGTGCAAGCCCTGGATTGGCTTGGATTGAGGGCACGAGACTAGGCTAGATCCAGTTAGAGCTACTAGATTTAGTAAAGGACAAGGACGACGTTCACATCCATCGTTCCAAGTTTATTTAGGCAATAAATTCTGCTCAGAGTGGAGCGAAGGCTCTGCTGACTTGATATAGGGTGTGCTAATGAATGCAAAAGAAACAGCCGACAAATCCAGTGCAAGCCCTGGATTGGCTTGGATTGAGGGCACGAGACTAGGCTAGATCCAGTTAGAGCTACTAGATTTAGTAAAGGACAAGGACGACGTTCACATCCATCGTTCCAAGTTTATTTAGGCAATAAATTCTGCTCAGAGTGGAGCGAAGGCTCTGCTGACTTGATATAGGGTGTGCTAATGAATGCAAAGGAAACAGCCGACAAATCCAGTGCAAGCCCTGGATTGGCTTGGATTGAGGGCACAAGACTAGGCTAGATCCAGTTAGAGCTACTAGATTTAGTAAAGGACAAGGACGACGTTCACATCCATCGTTCCAAGTTTATTTAGGCAATAAATTCTGCTCAGAGTGGAGCGAAGGCTCTGCTGACTTGATATAGGGTGTGCTAATGAATGCAAAGGAAACAGCCGACAAATCCAGTGCAAGCCCTGGATTGGCTTGGATTGAGGGCACGAGACTAGGCTAGATCCAGTTAGAGCTACTAGATTTAGTAAAGGACAAGGACGACGTTCACATCCATCGTTCCAAGTTTATTTAGGCAATAAATTCTGCTCAGAGTGGAGCGAAGGCTCTGCTGACTTGATATAGGGTGTGCTAATGAATGCAAAAGAAACAGCCGACAAATCCAGTGCAAGCCCTGGATTGGCTTGGATTGAGGGCACGAGACTAGGCTAGATCCAGTTAGAGCTACTAGATTTAGTAAAGGACAAGGACGACGTTCACATCCATCGTTCCAAGTTTATTTAGGCAATAAATTCTGCTCAGAGTGGAGCGCAGGCTCTGCTGACTTGATATAGGGTGTGCTAATGAATGCAAAAGAAACAGCCGACAAATCCAGTGCAAGCCCTGGATTGGCTTGGATTGAGGGCACGAGACTAGGCTAGATCCAGTTAGAGCTACTAGATTTAGTAAAGGACAAGGACGACGTTCACATCCATCGTTCCAAGTTTATTTAGGCAATAAATTCTGCTCAGAGTGGAGCGAAGGCTCTGCTGACTTGATATAGGGTGTGCTAATGAATGCAAAAGAAACAGCCGACAAATCCAGTGCAAGCCCTGGATTGGCTTGGATTGAGGGCACGAGACTAGGCTAGATCCAGTTAGAGCTACTAGATTTAGTAAAGGACAAGGACGACGTTCACATCCATCGTTCCAAGTTTATTTAGGCAATAAATTCTGCTCAGAGTGGAGCGAAGGCTCTGCTGACTTGATATAGGGTGTGCTAATGAATGCAAAAGAAACAGCCGACAAATCCAGTGCAAGCCCTGGATTGGCTTGGATTGAGGGCACGAGACTAGGCTAGATCCAGTTAGAGCTACTAGATTTAGTAAAGGACAAGGACGACGTTCACATCCATCGTTCCAAGTTTATTTAGGCAATAAATTCTGCTCAGAGTGGAGCGAAGGCTCTGCTGACTTGATATAGGGTGTGCTAATGAATGCAAAAGAAACAGCCGACAAATCCAGTGCAAGCCCTGGATTGGCTTGGATTGAGGGCATGAGACTAGGCTAGATCCAGTTAGAGCTACTAGATTTAGTAAAGGACAAGGACGACGTTCACATCCATCGTTCCAAGTTTATTTAGGCAATAAATTCTGCTCAGAGTGGAGCGAAGGCTCTGCTCACTTGGTATAGGGTGTGCTAATGAATGCAAAGGAAACAGCCGACAAATCCAGTGCAAGCCCTGGATTGGCTTGGATTGAGGGCACAAGACTAGGCTAGATCCAGTTAGAGCTACTAGATTTAGTAAAGGACAAAGACGACGTTCACATCCATCATTCTAAGTTTATATAGATTTAATAACTAATGGGAAAGCTGCAGACACCAATCCAATTTAAACCTTAAGCCGAAAGTATCTGAAAGTGTGCATCTGGCAGCCATGCTGCCGTTCGGTTATTGACGTGTGTGGTTGAGTGCTGTGTTTTCATCGTGTTTGCAGAAGTTTCCTCTTCACTGATGATGTCGGCGGCAAGAAAGTGCTCGTTTAATTCGGACTGGACGAACCCGAATTTTTCAGAATATGCAGGTTGGATTAAACCCGTGCAAAATGATCCTCACAGTGCTCAATGCTTTGTGTTGTAATGGTCTTGTATATTTATTCACCTCTACAGTGGTCGGGGAATTTCACCTGAAATTGTCAGGGAAAATCTGGAAAAGTCACGGAATTTGAAGCTAATAATTTTCTAGACACCCTGAAGGCTCTTTCTCTCTCCTTTCCCCTTTCCCTCCTCTAGGCTGCCACTGTTCCAAAAACCCACATGATCATGAGAAAAACGCTCTCCCTTCGCCCCCCTCTCCTGCTGCTGCTTTCACGAAAAACCCACATGGTCGTGCTGTTAGGACACGCTCCTTTGCTTTCCCAGTGCCACTGCCCAGCTTCCATTCTCATGTGCTCTGTGCACCTCTACAGAACTCGTGTACATACTTTCGCTTCTTCCGTCGCAGGCACGGTCACGGGCGCTCCCAATCTGTAAGAGCTTTTCAGCCAAGGAAAAAGCACCTCGTGCAACATTTTGCACAATCGTCTTACCAAAGCACACGTTTCCTCACACACGTCTCCTACATCGAATCCACTAAAAGCGAAGAACCCATTGAAAACATTGTACACCACACTGGCTGAAGAAAAATCTCCTTCAACGTGCCTTTTCACAATGCAGCAGCTTCCACCGTCAATCGCAGCAAACATTGTGTCGTTGTTTCCAGTTTTTTTTAAAAATATCATGAGGTATCAGATTTTTTTATCCCAAAATCCCAATGACTGCACGCTGCTGCTCAAGAGCGCAAACAGCTTAGAGTGCATTAAACAGGCCAAACCACCCATTGGGCAATGTCAACACTTTCTCCAATAACGCACCTTTCCTGTGCCGGAATTTAAAATGCCTGCAGTGGTTCTTTTTTGTGAAATACTATCGATTTGCTGTTATTTTTCTACACATCCTCATAGTTTTTTATATTAGTGAGTGACGCACTCCTGCTAAAATAGCGCATATAAACCCTGTTTTAAGTATAAGGAACGGTCGAGAAACTTTTGGAGCTTGAAAAACCCATGAGGGTACCTCTGGGGAAGCCCTGAGCTTTTGTACAGCTCTATTGCATCATCTGCAGACTTTTGTACTGCTTGATTACATCATCTGTAGGCTTTTGTACTGCTTTACAACATCATCTGTAGGCTTTTGAACTGCTCAGTGACATCATTTGTATTCTTTTGTATTGCTTTATTGCATCATCTGTAGGCTTTTTCACTGCTTTATTGTGTCACCACCGAAACCGGGAGGGGCTCCTCGACTATCAATCTCGGCAGACGGAAGTTTCTTGAGGACAAAAAGTTTGGGAACCCGTGCCATAGACTGTTCACTCTGTTACGATCGCCGGTTATGACTCCGTCTTGGTTTTAGCATGGAGCTGCTGTCGCAGCCGGACGTGGTGGAGCTGGGGAAGTCCTTTCGGATCTACTTGGCCTGCCTGCACTCCCTGGTCACAGACCTGCTCCAGACGTCCCACCTGTTCCAGCTCTTCCCCCTCCATCCCAGCCAGGGTGAGGCGGCTGTTGAGGCCTCGTAAAGTAGCTGAAGCTTGAGTTCATTCGATCATTCATTCACTTTCTCATTTATTCATTAAATATTTTTCATTCATTTACTCATTCATTCAATGCACCCTTAAAAAAAAAAAAAAAAATCGATTTTTTTTTTTTTTTAAATGTTTGGGTAGGAAGCATATTTACAAAATACTTGCCCCCCACCCCCAAGAACAAAAAGGTAATTAGTGCAATATTGTATGTTGTGAGACATGTTTTGAGTTTGAACTGCTTCTGAAACATACTTACATTGCGGGAGGCTTACCCGGAAATGTAATCATGTTTCGGAATGGCTCAAAAGAGCCTCGTCTCACAAGCATTGCACTAAAAATTTTGTTTCTTTCGGGGAAGGTTGGTTTTGTGACACACGTGTCCCATCCAGGCACATAAAACATAAAAAAGTACATTATTTTGGGGGAGTTCACTGTCGGTCTAAAGGCCCCGTTCAGGGGCATTGTGTTAGGGGGAGGTGTATGTCAGAGTTACAACGAAAAGAAGTGGCATAGGAGACGGGTAGTTCACAGTGATTGGCACCTCACAAAAGCAGGAAAACGGAAACAAGTGCAAAAACATGCCTGTGTGAATGTGAGGCTGTTTCATTGAATTTTTATTAGTACATAAATTATGCACTGGGAAACAAGATGGACATGTCTTGAGGGCGGGAAAATATAAAAAGACAGAAAAAGAAGGGTCCCCTAGTCTGCTCCTGCCTTGAAGGCACCGCAGACCTAAAGACAAGACTAAAATGAATGAATAGGATCCCAGGATCAAGTGGAGTTTCATAAAAAGCCAGTAGGTAATGGGAATGAAGAAAAATTGGAGCCGCAGCCAACAGAACGGTTCAGGGGAAGCTAATGGGAAGAGAGGACACCGCAGGGCCCTACATCAGCCCAACCCTGTGAGGGTGCACAGGAGGGCGACACTTGTGGGTCGACGATGGTCGCAGGGCAACAAGCGAGCCAAACAACCAACGTCGCAGTGATGTTTGATTTCTCCCCCTCTCCACGGGGGGAAAATGAGATGGATGGTTGAACTTAATTGTGGAAGTCCACAAAGCCAGGCCCACAGGTGCTCATGGGGATTGTCTTTCCCATAGAATCTGCCCAACACCGCAATGTTGTTGGTGCAATGTTGTGCCAACAATTTAGGAGCAACCTTGGGCAACCATTCGTTTCTCCAATTTTGCAACTCTTTCTTGTACAAGCGTAAAAATAAAGTTCTGGACAATGCTTGAACGGACAGTCGGTCCATGGAACAGCGTAGATGAAATGTATGAGAGGCTTTTTAAAGGGACGCTGACAGGGTATTTTTGCTTGCCAAGGTTTTTATTTGTACATGACATATGAGAGCCCAACTACCCAGAAAACAATTTACGGCTCGAAATTCGTTTTCTTTCCACCCGAAAACCGCCGATTGAGAACTGGCCGGTTTGAGTCGCGCTCACTCTCTTCTCCGTAGTTACCTGCCGTTTTCTCTGGTTTAGACAAAACCACCAAATGTAGTCAAAGTCGTGGGTCATCAAAGGCACACACTCAATATTAAAAATAGAAAAGAAATATGATATCCATTTTTTGTGGCTTCTAAAATGCTGCAAATACGTTGATTGAAATAAAAAAAAAAGTTGCACAGCCACGTGACTTCCGCCAACTCTCTCCTCCTCTATACTTCTTCTTCCTCCCCAGTCCAGTTTCAGTTTTGAGCAGTTTTGTCCGCCAAAAAATAAAAAAAAATAATTTGGGGGGGGGGGGGGGGGGTGTCAGTGTTTTTTTAAACCGACCACATAATTTGAGTTAGCAAGGTCAACTTTCTGGGTCATGGTTATGCTCATTCAACCATTCCAAAGGGCCCTTTTTGGTAATGCTTTCTTGGTAATGAACGTTTTGATAATGCCTTTTGGTATACCTTGTACATAATGCTTCTTTGGTTGTTGCCTCTTTGGTCATGCCTTTTTGGTAATGACTTCTTGGTAATTACCTAAAGCCTTTTGGTAATGCTTTTTTGGTAATTGCATTTTTGATAATGCCTTTCTGGCAATTACCTTCTGGTAATGCTTTTTTTTAGTTACCTGTTTGGTAATGCCATTTGGGTAATTACTTCTGATGATGCCTCTCTGGTAATTATGTTTTTGGTGATTTCTTCTTTTTTTGCTAGTGCGTTTTTGGTAACTGCCTTTACGGTCATGCCTTTTTTTAAGGCCTTTTTGTAATGCCTTTTAAGTCATCTGTGACGATTTTTGTGCAGATGGCTCGATAAAGCCCCAGTTCGTGCACACGGGAACAACGGGCGGCATGGAGCAAATGTTCAGCGCCGTCTGCGAGTCACTGCTGCTCTCCACAGCGGAACAGTTTCGACAGGAACGCGAGAGCTGGAAGCAGTTAGAGAAGTGAGTGACAGGCACTGATCCTCACAACGTTAGCTCGCAACAGTAGTAGTTTGCTTACCTATAGACCTTTCCAGCGGCAGTCTTAAATTGAAGCGATTTCCAGCGCGCGTCCCTGGTTTTGAGAGTGTACGTCAGTGTTGCCCGACTGCGCTGAGCTGTGGGTTTTCTCGTCAGTCGGCTGTGGAAGCCTGCGTAGGAGCAATTTCGAACGCTGGTGGCAGCAAATTCGCCTCGCTTTATTTTTTGTTTAGGGTTTTATGGCGAAGAGAATTTCTCGGAAGTTTTTAAGAAAGCGTTGAACTATTTTTGGGAACAGAAAGAAACAAATGAAAGCTATTTTCGGCGAGTCCGTGCGCAACAGAACAAATGCAGCTGGGATGTTTGTTTCATTTTATGCGGATCTTTTTAACGGCACCTTACACTCAGCCATGTCAAACTACAAAGATCTTAACTACCTAATATATTTGACCACATCAGAGGATAGCCAAACTGCATGGGTATTGCCCCCTCACTATATGAAATTCAACGAGTCTCATCAATCGAACAACATATATTGTACGTACCCTACGGTGCCGTGTTATCCGAACAGGATTTAAAAAGGTCTCAAATAACACAGCATATCCAATATACAGTGTCGACGATAGTCACTTCACGACGATTGGACGGAATCCGGCTTGTCTTGGGGTACGTTTTGAAGAGTGATGTTTTTTTACACAGCACTAAAGCAAATGAATGAATGTGTCGATTCAGTTCCCATACCCCGGACCCTATCAGCCACTTTTCGCCAAGGGAACGTAGCCGGGAAGGCTTTTCGGAGATTATCTCAACGGAAATAATCCTCGAAGAACGTCGAACGGCCCGCGTTGCGGGCTGCTTGACGTTCGCTCTCTTCGTTTCCTGCGAAGGTCGAGCAGGCTACAAGCCCTGGTATTCCTTGGTTCTCACAGTGGAAGATTACAAAAACACTCAAGCATCCTGAACAGGCAAATGGAGTAAACACTTTCAAGGAAAGCCGGCGAACTTCGAACACACAATGCAGGTGGGGAGTCGCACTGACCGGGTTTCCACAGCTCAGGCGGGTTGCAGAAATTTTTGGCTGATAGGAGTTGCTCGAGTCGCAAAATGGCGGCGGCCAGCGAGCTGTTTTTGCAAAGGTCTATACTACCCGAAGCAGGGGCGCACATTTGAGATTGAGTGCTTGAATGTGTTGCACTCTCTTGTAAACGCTTGCGATGGGAGAACAAACTGCCACACTGGCAGCATCTGTCAGGAAGCCCTGGTACACTTTCAATTACATGCCGAGCATCTTTGCGTTCTAGCTTAAATTGACCAGTCTGAGACAATTTTAAGAGATTACCGGCAGGTAAATCACTGCAGAATGGGCAGGCAAGCTCAGGCCCCATTGTCGCGGCAACAACCTTGCATAATGTTGCTTTGGAACAGACGTGGTGTTTCTTTTCCGCAGGCTCACGATGGACACGACAGTGTTCATCAACTCGCTCCACACGGACTCCGTTCTGGGATCCATAGTCGACTACGTCATCCTAAACCAAGGTGTGCTCTTTTCCTGTGCTTTCTTACTGTGGTAGCGTTCCGAAATCATTCGGTCATGGTAGTCTACATTGGCCGTAGTTGCTGACAGGATAAGAATTACAGGCAGGTCCTTCAGGTGTCCCACCTACAGTGCAAGTCTTCGATAGCGCTTCAACATCTCGTGGGCCTTTAGTGTGCACGCGCAGCTAAAGCACGGCGGAAGGCAATCTGCACGTGCTGGGGACCGGGCATCGAGAAGAGACACCTTGCCATTCTTAAAGGGGTTATGACATGCCAAAAATAAAATATGAGATAACTATACTGCTAGAAACCATTTTATATTCTTATAATCCTGCTAAATTTGTAATGAAAATGGCGCGATAGTTTTGTGGATAAATCAATTTGTATGCGGGCCCCTCGGAGGGGCGGGTCCGAGCGGAGCTAGAGGCTTGCTACGTAGGCAGCCTCCAGCGCGGTGTCTCGTTGCACGCACTCACAGACTTGGCTCTCTTGGTGTCTCGAGCCTCAGCTTCCTCGTTTACCTTCCACGTTTCGAGCATGCGGTCCGTTACGATTACGTCTACGGCATCGCTCGCCTTGTCAAAGGGTTCGACATCGATCGCAGCAGCGATGAGAGTGATTGCTAAGAGCTGTTGGAAGCTGTGCATTTTGACTGCGAACCGCTGGCGACCAGCTCCAGTGACGACGAGTTACGGACGAACACGCCGTGGTCACTGTCGTCCGGGAATATTTCACAGGCGCATGCAGGGTGGAAGGTCAACGGGCAGGGGGCGAGAGCGAGAATAACGCTTGGGTTGCCGAGTTGCGTGAGCGGTTTTGATCGTACCGCGGCGAGGAGAGCTTGGGCGATCATGGGGGCGCCTAGAATGAAAGAGCGTTCATGGTCACGTGGTTTATGGACGCCATGGTGTGACTAACTTGGGCAGTGTTGCCTGGTCGGCAGATGAAAACGATAAAAATTTGTAAATTGAATATTGCAATTACCAGAGCTCCAAAAATCGCGTAACTTAGTGTATATACTAAGTAGCCAATGAGCATTCCATTTCAAGAATAATCCATATGGTTAATTTTCATGTCATAACCCCTTTAACCAGTCGGTGACTTTAAATGTGTTGTCACAAACGAACCAGCTGTATTTCTGTGCATCATTCAATCTGTACTTCTCTTGCTCTGCTGCATCATGCAAAACTGGTAAACATTTTTGTGCAAAGCGCTAGGTCGCGGTGTCTACACACTACTCGATTCGGGTTTCCCTACGGGGTCGTATGTTTTCTGGGAAAACGGAGGTCAAACCGAAACGAAGGGCAGGTGCGTTGGAACGTGACTTCGGAGACTTTGGAAATCGCACGGTTTGTTTTGCAGTCTACAAAAATGAAATAAATATCCGTTTTAATTGTTTTCGGTGTTTCGCCTCATAAAAACTGTTTGATTCTATTATTTTTATTATTGAAGATCTGCCTCAGATGGCTTGGTACTTCTCAATCACTTCAAGCTCTGTAGCTTCGTTCCAATGAACACACTAGATGAGGGTGGGAAAAGCTCTGGGCAGTTTTGATGGTTAGGGTTTAATATGAACGTTGATAATGTAGCACGATGTAAGCGTCGTGTTTATAGCACTGAGTTAGCCCTGTGGGGTATGTGTGGACAAGCACTCTCCTCTACATTAGAGTCCAGTTAATGTGTTGCAAAACTGGGGCATTTAGCGTTTGTCTGACGAAGCCGCCAATGCTTGCAGACGAGACGAGGTTGGCCAACGACAGCCCCCGTCCCACAACAGAGGTGGCACCACCTAGCAATCTGAGGCTCCTCAATCCCATTTCTACTGTCAACTCGGAGGAGAGCGTGGTGAGTTGGCAGAGAGTAAGATTTCAGGGACCTATGGAATTTCGACAAGAAAATTGCCTTATTTCTCGGCGTATATTCATTTCTTTTAGCAATTTTTCTGTCAGTATTGAAACTGGCTCCAGTTTACGCATGTATTGCAATCACAAGTCGCATATGCGGGCTTATCGATGCAGTTACACCGTGCTGATTGTACAAATATTATATAAGTGCAACTTATACAAAGGTTCTAAAAACTTTGTTGTGAAAACGGTCATTTATAGAGGGTGAGATTTATATGCCAGAAAATACGATACTTTGTCTATTGGGCCTTTTCCGGGGTTGCCTATGCGCTTGCATAGCGGTAGCAGACATGGCTGTCTGCTGTTTTTGGGGGCACTTACAGGACGGTATCGGCTGACAGAAAGAGCTTGGAGACGTCGAGATTCGCAGGTTTGAAGACGCTGCATCCTACTACCATTAGGGTGCTAGATTTGCCTCTGGAGAGTGGATATAATGACTTGTAAAGGGGTGTATTACTTGTCTACCGTAAAGTTCCAAAAGAACATCCACCCAAAATGAAGAGAAAAATGGTGAAAAACATGGAGTGGGCTATCTTTGGGAACGCCACAGCAAAACTTTATCAAAAACCGGCTATAAACCACGTGACGCGGTAACTGATACCGCAAATCGCGAACACCGGAAATTCGCGTTTTACGATGCGATAAACACGCGGAAATTTGCTACGAACTCCTGTGTCAGGACCTGCGGAAATCCGCCGAGAACTCGCATCTCACGGGAATGAATGCCGGAAATCGCGGACGCAGCAGATGCAAGTTTTATGGTGCTATAAACACGCGGGAACCCGCTACAAACTTGCTGTCACGGGAACCGATATTCTGCGCGCAGATAGCGGACAAAAAGGCGGGAACAATTGCCGCAGATCGCGAACGCAGCAGAATTGTATTTCACGATGCAATATACACGCGGGACCAACTCGCGTAGAATGGAGATCGCACACGCAGATTGCGGACAAAAACGCGGGAATCTTCTAAAAACTTTATTTTACGGGAACGGATACCCCAGATTGTGGACGCAGCAGATTCGCATCTCACAGTGCAACATACACGTGGGAACATCTCGCATGTTACGGGAGCCGATACCGATTGTGCAGATCGCGGACAAAAACGCGGGAACCCGCTATAAACTCGCTTGTCAGACGTGCCGGTACAGCAAATTGCGCAGTTGATGCGATTCCCGTCGGACATTGCGTGACATCCGACGGATATCGGGGAATGGGTGATGTTTCGGGATTTTTATGTTACAGATATTTAGCCAGAAAAAAGGGGTTGGGCGATCTCTTGGGGGCGGGCCTTCTCTCGGAACTTTACGGTAGTTATTTTTTTCCAGCTCACCTAACCCTCCCAGTTAACCCAGGTCCCTTTCTCTATCTGTCCTTTCTCAGGCGGGGAAACAAAAGCCGACGTGTCGTCTGGGCTGTCTGGTCTTCGCCATTTTCGTGATAGTCTGCATCGGGATCGGTGTCATGATGGCCGTCTGCTTCCTTGTCTTCTCATAGCCTCATGAGAGTGCCGAGGAGGAGGTGATGTGCGTTAGGTCCCTCTTCCTCGATTTTCGTCTTCTCCTGGTGTGATTTTTAAACTCTGCTCAAAAGATGAACTCGGTGTAATAGGTTCTAGTCAAGGTTCCTGTTTGCTCTGTGGGTGGATGCATTTTCATTTGTAATGTCCGCTTGGTTGAGCAAAATTCATTCAGATGCAAGGAGACGAGAACAGGTCATGCGTGAGAAGCGGCTGTCATTTTTATTTGTTATACTCCTATTTTTAGGGTCTTGGTGTCGACCCCTACTTTGGGCGCCAGTGATATGGGGTTTTCGCTGCCTGGTTCCCATGAGGCTATGTTGACTTTCTTTGAGCAGTCATATTTTAGGTCGCATTGAAGTCATGCGCTTAGCATGTTTTCGTCCTTGCATTTGTGTGGACTGATCCTCATAGTCATTGTGACAGGAAAAGGTCTTTACAACCCTTGTTTTACTACATTCATTTTATTGTGATATCTATTTTTGTGTCATTATTTATTTTCATTGTGATGTCGTGACGCAGCGGAAAAGGCAGCTCTGAATAAGAACTGGCATAATGTTTACGAGGAGCAATCATTTAATTATGTTTCTTTTTTTTTAATGGAGGTATGGGTTTAGTAGTGATACTTCATCATTTACATTGTTGCTTTGGCAAGATATCTCTTTGCATCGATTTGAAGTATATCATGCGATCACAGGGAAAATGCTCGGGGTTTCTTTTGGATCTTGTCCGATTTTGATTTGGTTATGAGGTTTGTGGTGAAGTCCTTCCGAAATGCTGCTTGGTCCTTAGGGAGAGACATAGCTGCACCTAGTGGTAGCTCAAAGACGCAGGCCACGTTCGTTCCAGCCCACGAGAACGTTCGCTCACTTTACCATTCCATTATACTTTGAACAACTTTCACTATGTGATCAATTTGAAGAGATGTGTTCAGACGGTTTCCTCTTTTTTGCAGCGGGACGCAGAAAGACTCGCCCTATTTTTTATCTCGACGTAGTGTTGTTTTTCGGTGCTCTCCGCGAGGGAGATTGTGTAGTTGTGTTTCTTGTGATAACCTGCGGCCGCAAAGTATTTTTAATTGTGTTCTTCGCGCAGTTTGTGCTCGTCGTGACGGGTTTGTCGAGGCATTGACTAGTCTCAGTGTGTTTTAGGGCGTAGCTGTGTTGACCCGTTTTCCCGAGGAGCATCTTCCGCGACTGCCTCAGCGGGGTAAATCTTCACGGCACAAATTAGGCAATGCCAGGTGTCGTAGGCCCAACAGAGACTGTTTTCAACTTGTGACGACATCCATACGAGTGGGAAACCAATAGGTGTTTTTTTGTTTTTTACCTTTTTTCGTCGCAAGTTTTTTGGCCACTTTGTAGACGGAGTGTCAACATAGCAAAGCAAAGTTGTGGGTTGATAGAGGCACAAGATGCTTCCACACTACGCATAAAGGCCTAGTAAAGACTTCTTTCTCTTTTATAAATTGACTTCGCAGTGGCAAGGTTCGGCAACGCTAAAGGCTGGTTTGCACATCTGTGTTTGACTGTGCTCGAGTGCATTGCATTCTTTCGTAACCGCTCGACACGATGGCGCCCTGACGCTGTCTATTAATTAGGTAGCCATGGAAAACGTCTAACCTGCGCGTATATTATTATAATCGAGTTACACGCAGATCAAAAAGTTTTCAGGGCTGTGTGATAGGTGGCGCAGCGCTCCGGTTTTGTTTTCTACCATAATATCTGTGGAAATGCCCCACCCCCAAAAGATAACCCATCCCTATTTTTGGCATGATTTGCTATCTTTTCAATAAGACTGAAAGATAGCCCACTTCTAGTAATTGCAGGGCCCTGGCCAATGGTAACCTCGGTAGATATGGTGTAACTTAGTCACGGCGGGAGATGAGCGAACATTGCCAACTAGGAAGTGTGGTTGTCTTCAGTTCATCGCCCCTCGCCGCTACCTCAAGTTTCGCAGGTCGCAAAATCTAAAACTAGCATTTTTTAACTTTTTTTTTTGACCGCACACTGAAAGTTAGCTCACTCCTTATTTTCGCTAGATTTGCTTTCAATTTTATGTGGGCCATTTCTCGGGATCTTGCGGTAGTCTTAAGTGGCTGGAAGGTGTTTGAGCACAGTCAAACGTAAAAGTGTGAACCATCCCTAAGCTGCAAAATCGCTGTCTGGCTATCTCCTTGGGTCAACGTTTGTTCCTGCGCCACTTTCTTTTTTACCTATACTTCGGTTCGCCTTCAAAGTGCGGAAAGGGGTTTGTTGCAGCTTTGTGATTCCTTTTGCTCTACCTCTTTTCACGAGAGCTTGCTTTCGACGCCGTCTTGTTTGCGACTGAGTATCGTTTTCCCCGGTCCGTGTACATAGGGGCGAGTGTACAGTAGACTTTGCTAGTGTTAACTTGCATATAGGAGACAGTCTTCCCTTACAGCTAGAACCTGTACTACACTTCCACGGAGCACTTCTCGTTTCAGGGGCAGGACTAACGTTTCAAAGTACTAGTACTAGTGCACCTCCTTTCGTGATCGCAGGGAGACATTAATTTTATTGAGGTGATATCGTTTGTTCTGGCGTAGGAAGGTTGTGCTGACAACGGAAGGCTGATAAACTGCACCCCATTCATATTTCGTGATTTAGGCACCTTTGAGGCTGAAAAGTTTGAAGACCAATCCTCTTGTAAGAAACCAGCACTGGTATTAGTAGTGCTAACTTGGGTGGTGTTACCAGAAAAATTTGCTGTAACTGGTTTTGAAAGTAGGTTCTAAAAAGGCTTCTATGATGCCATGTGCTCGTCTGCTGGTAAAGGCTCCTGGACATTTCATTGAACACCGTTTCATCTAACGCGTTTCATTAAGTTATGGCTGTTTAAAAAAAGAAAAAAAGCCTGATTATTGTTTTAAGTTCTAGTGTTGTTTGTATGGCACATTAGCTCATACCTATCAAATTTTGAATATAGTCAGTGAAGGTGGCCTTCTAAATCTTCTCCAGACTCGAAGGTTATTTTTGTTGGCTTTGGCCTGGACTGCCAGAACTAAATGCAGCAAAGGGTACCTTTGGCCTCAGATACACTTAGTAGGGGCACACTATGCTAACTCAGTTCTTTGATTACATTTTTTGGTATTATACTTCTCTAATATAAATAAGCAAGCTTTGTAATCAGCAGGTATTGAAAATGTCACATGTGACCATTGTTATGTAGATAAAGCTGGTTTGTGGCTATTACAGCTGCTAAGTGTCTGTTTTCTAGAAAATTGTAATGTAATTAACTTTTTTAGTTTGAGATTCAGGTATTCAAAACAGGGATACAATATTTCGGTTGTGTTGGGTTTTCTCTTTCGAGTAAGCCACTTAACTCGAGTGATGGCCATGTAACAATGATGAGCAATTGCCCCCAGAAAACCTTGCACAGCCTTTTTTTGTCAGTTTTCATGCAGAAGGCAGATATTACAGTGGGCAATGTGTCAGTAGCATTTTAGAGGCATTAGATAAAGTAATGTTAAATAAAACAATGTTTGAAAAATGGTATTGCATGAAACGTCGTTTGATGAGAGCGTTGATGAAACGGCATTCAGTGAAACTGCTCTGACCAAATGGTGTTTGACGAAATGTTTGGTCTCTGCTGGGAACACGGATAGCATCATGTTTTGTTCCACAAAAGGCTTTGTTCTACAAAAGGCTTTGCTCTACAAAAGGCTTTGTAGCAATGCCAGAAAAATAAGGCACTGCAGTCTTACCTGTGGTCCAAGTGGGCTGCAGAGAACGAAAATGGCGGCCATCTAATCTGAAAAGTGCAACCCTCCTATGCTGTTATCCAATGCCCGCCGTTGCTCAACACCGGAGGGCGTTAGGTCGCAATCTGTGATATCATTTCGAGCGTTCTTTCCACTTTGAGTCCGGTTTGAACTTGAATGCGCTCAATATTTGTTTGTTCATCTGTTGCATGGCCCGTCTCATTGTTGTCTGGAATGCTTCTGGCATGGGCATATCGATCGAATGGTGGAGATGGAAGCTCCCACGTCACATAGTAGTTCTCAGCATCTGCGCACATGCACTAAGGACACGAATTGCACAACATTATGCGAATTTGCCCCAGATGTGAAAGTAACTGAGCTGGCTCACACAGAAGTGTAGCGATTCTGTCGCCCGTTTCTTGGGCGTTTGGTAGATCTTATTGAGGGGACTATTGCAAAGCATCTATAATGGTTGTAGGTGGTAGTTCAAAGGTGTCACTAGTCTCTTACAGTACCTATTCTCAATATCGAGGCAGTTAAAGTTTGTACAGGTTGATCTGCATGAATAAGGTTAGTACTCGCACAAACTTGTTTGACAAGGAGAGTGGTGTCGATGGCACAGCTTTTTCGTACCACGAGGCTTGAAGAGCTCAGACGTCCTGGAATTTGTGAAGTCGGGGAATTCTAACTTTGGACCTTCGAATCTTTTTAACTGACTGATTCAACGAATTTCGAACTTGGGAAGCCCAAAAGTTCAACAAACTTTGAACCTTGTTTAAGGTTTAAAGACATTTCAAATGCTTTGTTGGCTCTTAGTGTCATGCAATCTAAGGAGTGTGCATCAGTTTACCAATTGAACTCTAAACGTTTTTGTTTAACACATGGAAAATAACGTATTGAACAGTACAGTTGCTTTGTGTGCTGAGCTTCATCGAGCATTAGATCTGACTTTCATCTTGTTGTAGTCTGGGTTTGAACGAGCCGTGAAACGATTTTCGGACTGCGTTGCAATACCATTTTTGCTTACCTGCACTGGTTTTTATTTTACAAACGAAACGCATTGTTATGGCATCTAGTGCGAACTGTATGACTTGCAGTAGCAATGTCTTTTAATAGCATGCATCATTTGGGATCACTAATGGTTCCGTACGGTAGTGTTCGTTTCACGAGTTGAGGTTGACTTTGCATGGAGGATTCATGTTAAATTTTTGCTGACAGACGGGAAATGTATAGTATCTTCTTTTTTATACTGGTGGCTGGATCTCACGGGGTTCGACTAACAACCCCACATCGACTTGTAGAGCAGTTACTGTAGTTTCGGTAGGTATTGTGAACTGTCCCCATTATGCATGCTGGCGATAAGCTCCTTCGAGGTTGAAGTTTTTGCATCTTGAATGTCTCGCCATTACGGCATGCTTTTTGCGTGAATGCGTCGCGCTACTTTTTCTCTCTTTCTCAAAGTGAGTCTGTAATAGCATGCTGTCACAAAAGTTGTTGTCCGTGTTTTTCGAAGAAAATGAAATCTAGGAAGTCTGTGCCTTAAGATTTTAATCGTTTCGAGTGACGGAAAAAATTTTGTTCAGCGTACCTGCGGGCATTTAGTGTGCCGGTGCTGATGCCCGTCAAAACTGGCAGTTCCAGGCTGCCAAATCTTGTGAATGATCTGATCGTTGGCTCTTTTCTCTTTTGTTATTGTTGCTTTTCAAAGAGAGAACTTGATTTGTCAAAAATCGCACATTGCTTACGTAAAACGTTTCGCCAAAGCTCCTAGAGACTTCCAGTGCAGAAAATTGCAAGAATAAGGCAGAAAAATTGCCTTTTGATGTCACAGTATCTGGCATCCTGTTTTAGAAAATGGTTATGATATCAAAAATCTTCCTCTATGGCTGAATGGTACTTCTGATGCTGCTTTGCCCAGCAGTCTGTAAGCATTTGCATGGTGATCGCACAGTCAAAATCTGAAGATGTGTTGTGACATCATAACTGTTATTGCTGTGTTAGCAGGCAATTTTTGTGCCTTATTAATAAAATCCTGTGGTCATATTTTCTGGACGCTACTGCGAAATGGTTCAGAATCAGATTATTCAATTATAAAAAAAAGAAAGTTTTTTGCGTACATTTTCAGATCAATCTCGGAGTGTAAAAGAAAGAACACAAAACCTTCCTTAGGTGTTGGTAGGCGTTCTCATACATGTCTGTTTTATTAAGGGCACTTTTTACATGGTCGAGCAATGAGGCAAGAGAATGAAGCATATTTATTTATTACAGAGAAAGTTCCAAAGCCCTTTAGTATAGTTTTTGTAAACTTGTTTTCGTTTAGATTATACTCAAGGAAAAGTTGATTGTTGTGTATCTTTGTGATCTCAAGCAACCTAATAACAGTGGGACGTTTCACTTTTGCAAATGGGGAAAGCAGGCTTATGTGCATAACTTACAAATGGGAATTCGCTTAACAAGTGGATCGAGGGCCGTGTTGGTACAGATTATATATTACTTGGCTTTTGGAGGTTCCTAAGTAAGGTAATGTAATGAAACTTGTTAGTCCAGATTTGGAGCCAGATTTGTAATTGGCAGAAAGTTTCAACAGCAAAGGCTAGGGAACATCAGCCTACAGTATATGTAGTAAGAAATTTCAGTGAATAGTGTAAAGCTATGAATAGTACAACATATAAGGAATGTTATAGTTGTGTCACTAGTTAGAATTTAAAGAGGATCATAAAGACTTCCGAAACCACGGTTCTATGTGAAAGTCTGTGGAAGGTATACAAGTTTTTCCCTCAAAAACTGCAAGTAAAGAAGTTGGCATCCTTACATGGTGGTTGTCACTAATTTCTTCCTTTTTGTGGCGGATTGAGATATTCGTATGTAGGTACATTTAAGACCAGTTATTTCTTGTTTTTGCACATTTCAAAATGCAAGAAACATGACTTTCTTTCTCTGACATTTGAATCTTGTAAAAGCGTAGCTACTTCGTGCGGTGTATGAGCTATGCATCAAACTTACTTTTTGCTTGAGATGAAGTGTGTTGAGGCAGAAGCCTGTGTCGATGTGAAAAGGTCCTGATTGTGATACATAGTGTAAAACGAGTTTCCACGCCCCACTGTTGTTAGGCATCCGGCAGCTCTGATAAAGAGTTTGAATGGTCACATTGCTCATGTTTTGAGAGAACCTGCACTTGTTTGTCGATTCGTCGAAACACTCTTTTATCAGACTTTTACGGTCAGGCCTCTCAGTGGAGTCGCGATGACCTCTCAGACGTTTATTACTGTTAAAGCTTTGCATTTCAAAGGGAAACCAGACTGTACTTTTCCTTCTGGAGATTATATGGGCACACTGGCTTGCCCGGTGGTCTTGGGTAGTCTTGGACTTGTGCGGTCACTCTGTTCATACGCGGGTTTTCGGTATTCAAGTATGTCTCGACGTGCCTTCTCTTCTCTTGACTGCTGTGGTTGGGTGACACTCTTATGTCGCATGCAAAAAGTTCTGCGGGAAGTTTGTGTGTCCCCACGGGCTTTCCGTCAAAGTTTGTTTTCGCTTCTGGAGTGTTGCTCGGGGATATTCCGTCACCTGATTACAGTGTTCATGCAGTTGACAGACTATTCTTCTCTAGTGTGTCTTTGTTTTCTTTCTGTTGAATGGTAATTCTCAAAGGCTTACCTTGCTCCAATGATCACGAGCAAATTTTTTGGACCTGTAATTCGGGACTTCGGGTTACTTTTGATGCAGATTATGCCTCGATGGCTTCCCAATACAGGAATTCTTATTACCTCGTTTTACGTACGACAGTCTGGCACGCTTCAGTTGAGAAGCATCGACATAAGGTTGCATTCACTCTGTTGATCTGTGGGCGAGGGCCCAAACGTTTTCCGCCCTCAGAGGGGTGTTTTACCCGAAAGGCTTGAATGCTTAAAAGTATTGTTTGAATTGCTTGATTTGAAGTGCCATCTGTGACACTTACTATGGGTGTCTGTCAAACTGTTGTAATCCTCTCATAAAACATGTAGTATTTGTCAGCCTTCGTACAGACAATGTTCTTCAAAAGCAGAATGATGCAAATAGAAATTTCATCGATTTGTTGTTACTGGACATATTTTTTATTCTGGTTTTAAATCCATTCTTTGACCCAAGCCTTTATAAAGAACCCCAACAAATATATTTCTCTTTAAACTCGCCAAAGCACATGTCCAGTAGGGAGAAAACCTTGGCTAAGTTTTTAGATCCGTTGCACCTTAGTCACTCCAAGAGGGGCAACTAAAGTCTAACAGAAAAAGATTCAAAGAGCTAAGCCCATTCTTTGCACCTTTTTTTGCCGGGCTGTTGGAGTTCCTGTTTGCCATCTCTTCGCATCATTTTAATTACGTGGGTCTTCAAACTCGAAAGATGATGGCATGTTTGACTCTGCGCGGCCCGTATGCTGCAAACCTTCAATGAGAAGCAAGACGGAACTAGCATGCACGCTTATGTCGCTTTTTTACGACACACGGTTAAAACATTCACACCTTTTAATTGTAAATCCTTGTCCGGAAGCCAGTACTATTCCCAGTGTTTAATTTTAATAAATAAAACATGTTCACTTTTCACGGTGAAATAAAAAGGGTGATTTGGTTGTAGTTTACGTGAGGTCGAGCCACAATATCGGGGGGGTCGTAAGAGTATGCACAGAAAAGCTAGACATCAATTTTTGAGTCAACAATTTGATTGATTAGCGCTGATCGGCCTAACTGTTGGCCCAGGTGCCGACGTCGTAACCTTTCCATGTGCAGTTTTACAACCCCCTTAAGTGAGTGTGCATCCGCCATAATTTAGTAATACTGCATGTCTTGGGTACCATATCTTGAAGGTTTGCAGCCTTGGATCTTCCTGGCACTTTTGAAAGAGAGCAGTAAAAACTAATATTGTTGACATGACTGATTAGATCCCTCTTTTTTACTTCGCAAACACTCTTTAATAAATGACTGTTGGTAAAGGTGCACTGAATGTGATTCTGACTCCCTTTGAATTGAACAGAAACTTGATGTGCAGAGTTTGAAAGAAGCTAGCTGGTAGAAACTGTTGATCTGCATACCCTTTTTTATGTAGAAAATGCAATCCCAAAATAGACACGGTCTCTTTCTTGATAGGCATGGACTGACACAAACAAAGAGCAAAAAACTGTTGAGCGAGGTGCGAGAAGGAAGTATTTTTTTTTTTTTTTGCACGCATTTTCAAAGCAGAGGTTAAGCAAGTCCACCTAAGATATTAATTTTGGATTGCATGCCTTCTCTGTAGGCAGTTGATATGCACACAGAAATTTTTTTTGTAGATTGGGCCGTTTCATTTCCCTGTCTCATGGGCATTTTAGATGGCTTTTATAGTGGATGCCTGTGGAGAACCACCAAGCCAGCGCATGCTGAGTGGCATTCGCCGAGTCAGGCACGGCGAGCTGATTTGCTGCTTGCCCAAAATCCTTCCACATAAATGTCATTTAAAATGCCTGTGAAACCATTTAAATTTCATCCCACGAGCTGAGTGCGGCGCTATCAGGCGAAACACACCTACAGTGAAGTGTAGACTGAGGTTTTTGCTGTTTCTACAAAACTGAATCTGTTTAATGCACCTTTACCTTATAAATCCGAAAAGAAGTACCCTTAGGGGTTCCTCTCATCTGCAACATCTGTAAAACGAAGGGACCAAGAAGTCTGCATGCTCACGATCGTACTAGCAACCTGTAACCCTTAGGGCAGCCAGTCTGTCTGTGTACTCGAACGTTGCAATTGGTCACCTTGGCGGCAGGGATGTTGTGCAAAGTTTGGCCCGCGGAACACAGGGAATGACCGATTGAAGAAAGCACTCCTGTACGACTTCCCCGGGGAACCTCAGCTAACACTGTACCATAACCACATGTCTATTTAGAAGAGACGGGACGCACAATTTCGTCAGAAGCAAGTGTAAGGTATATCTTAAGTTGTTTTGTTGTTTAACATTTGTTTTTATGGTTGCGGATAAATAAAGAAGATTCACTCTCGAAATTCTCTGCATGCTCCTTTCATAGTTGCTTTGGTGCGGAGCAGCTCTAGTCCCTCGCACTAGGGTGCCCAGTGTTCTGAAATGGCTACTCTGTTACACCAAGCGATTACAGGTAAAAGTGCCAACACTGACACAAAGAGGCACTGTACCGCCAGATGAAGCTAAGGGCTCGAAATGGAGGGCACTCTTTCTCGTGCTGTTGGTCCCACATCGTTCTGTCAGACCACCTCCTTTTTTGTTCGGACCATAACCTCAATGTAAGGCGCCCAAAGGCAAAAACCTTTACTTTTTTTTTTTTTTATTTTGATAGGAACTGTCTTCCTTAGAACATTGTAGGTACCCTTGACTCAACAAAATTGAGATACTATGACATGATATTGCATTGGAGTTATTTTTGTTTGTGTATACTTACCCTCTTGATTTTTTTTTTTTTTTTTTACGTGCGTACTTGCTTTTGTGACGTACCTTTTCTTTGCTGTTGGCTTGATGCGAAGACTGCCTGTACACCTCGAAGAAATACTGAACTGGGATTTGGAGCACGCAAAAGGCTGGAGCGATAGGCGGGACGCTGCAAAATCCAAAAAAACATCACTCGTACAGCGATATATCTAACGGATGACCGTATTTTCGGAATAAAAGTACACGATTGAACACGGCAGATGAGGCCGACGAGACATGTGACGTCACAATTCTCATTCCCTCTCCTCTTTACTTCGTCCCCTCGAGCAGGTGAACCGAAGCGAGCAAGAGAGAAGCAAGGCCGTTTCCCCTCATTCTCAACTAATCCAGGAGAATTGTGACATCACATTCCTCGCTTGATCGCGCCCTTCTTTTCCTGAAATATGGCCGTTCGTTTGAGATATCGATGTATGAGTGATGTGTGGAGTTTGTAGCGTCCCATTCAATGCTTCTGCGGCCTTATTTTGCGAAATCCAAATTTTGGCTCAGCATCCTTTAAGGCACCCACCTTGGACACTTTCGAATTGTTTTCTAATGTAGACCCCTCAGATTTGGATGCGTTCCAAAGTAGGGCAGCATGGACACAGCAAACCCAATTAGGTGATCTACTGCGCCAAAGTGCTTACCCTGCTACATCCTGCCAAATTTCACCGAATTGTTTGTGGTCTGTTTGAGCGGGTTAGTTGTGCTCGGTGACAACTTTTTTTTGGCATTTCCGGGGAGAGGAGGAGAGCCCGCGCACAGCTTTATTCGGCGCTCAAAAAAGGAGAGGGAACGCGTGCCTGTACTTTCCCCTGCATTGCCAAGAAAAGTTGTTGCGGAGTATAGCTCCGTAGAGTGCGCTTCTCACCGTGCACCGGTGCCCTGCGGAGAAGCGGCACCCGTGGACTGGAACTTTGATCCTGCGTACCTCGTTTCGCCTCAATGCGAGCTCCGTTCAGTGCGCTTCTCAGCGCCCACTGGTACACTATAGAGAAGCGACACATGAAGTCTGGAGTTCCGATCCTGGGTATCCCGCTTCGTCGCAGTGCAATCGCAAGCTTAGGGGAAAAAAGCATCCCTCCAGAGCGGGATGGTGCACATGCTCACGTCTGGCATTCAAAAAGAAAGAACTTGGTGAATGCTGATGTGAAAACTCCGTGGTTAGGTGTTGCTGGGCAGCACTATAGGAATATTGTTTAATGTCAAGTCTTGCTTAGTTATGCACCTCTATCTGTTCAAAGGCACAATGAAAAAAGTTGAATTAAAACTGATTGAGGTTTAGCAGTGAGCTAACCTTAATGAGTTCATTTAAATTTTTCTAAAAAGGTATTATTCTCGCCTAAATGATAATTTCATGTCATAAAAATCTACATTAAGAAAAAAATTGTTAAACAAAAAATGACAAGTTATTTTTTTTGACTGAATCAAAATTGCACGAATTGTAACCTTCAAAACTTTAAGAAGGTATCACATTTTCTGCTCTAAAGTATTCTATTCTAAGTTTTTTAGTAGAATACTCTGGTTTACCTTTACTTTTGACTCCAAGTTTGTGGACTGGATTCTAACGTCATCTTCCTCAATCGAGCGCTGGGCACAAATCGGACACTAGCACTGCGTCTGCTTTCGGCTGGGGCTTCTCTTCAATCGATGCTTCACTGTGGTTGAACACGAGCCCCAGCTGCACGCTGACGCAGCGTTTGGCTACGTCGACAGTTTTATGTCAAAAAACACAAATAATTGATGTTGTCCCCACGGGTTAGTTCTAAACTTATCCTAGAGGGGTGCAGTGGTAGGATGTCCTCCGCCACCTTTTTTGGCTAGGTGGCGATAGACGCCACCCGATCGAAAGGGGCTCAGTCGTATTCATCCATCCATCCATGCATCCATCATTATCACTACATATTCTGCGTAAAAACGGTTCAAAAGTGATAACAGCATATCAAAAAACAATTTGTCGAAAAAAGACAAAAAAAAAAAAAATAAATAAAAGAAACGACGAGGCAGTGGTCTTTCAAAGAAAGTTTTAATAAGAAAATGACTCACCAAAAACCTCAGTGGTGGTATACAGCCTATATGTAACCCAAGGAAGCAGACAAGTTGCAGTACAACTCCGTATTTCGCTAACAGGGGGCGCAACGAATCGTCCTCCACATTATAAGAATTTCCTTTTTTTTTGTTCTTTTTTTTTTTTTTTTTGCGCATTGAACATGGTAATTTCGTGCGTCTAAAAATTGCTACACTTTGCCCTCGTCCCCTGGAATTTTAAGAGTTTCGACCAGAAGCCAAACGCACACTCGCGTAATCAATACCATACATTTCTAGAAGAGCGTGTGTAGAAATCAGCCTTTCTTAGACTACAAAAATAAGGTATATTTCAAGCTGCACGTTTTTCAGTTTTTTTATTTTGCAGTGACCTTGTTTTTTTTTTTCTTCGTCTTAGTATTACAATGATGGCCCAGTGTGACTAAACATGCTGTTGTATCTTTGATTTTCCTACATCATGGTTTTGCTATAACGTAGATTACTTAGTCTTTTTTTTTTGCATATTGCTATCGGTTACTATTTACAACGTCCCCAACTGGTGGGTTCAAGCGTTTCTTGTCCAACGCTTTTGCAGTAACACCAACGCTGAACCAGCCTCCATCACAGTACCCAGGTATTGACCCGGGAGACATATACTTGTCCATGTACGAAAAAAAAAAAAAGGAAACGCCAGTAGGTAGTTTTTTTTTTTTTCTCACATGCCTCAACATTGACTTTCGTGCGAACACGGATGTCGGGTAACACATTCCAACACCAAACTAGAATTCAAACTTTGGTCCAGAGCACGGTGCCTGTCAAAACCGTATCAACGTCGCACTGCCGTTTGGACGTTGACAGAATCGACTTGCACCCTTAACTTGATATTCGTTAACGTGTCTCAACATCAACTCGCATCCAAAACATGTCGTCTTTTTCAATATTGTATACATCTCGTCATCAACTTGAACTTGAACTTCGCCGAACAACGTGTATTTTCCCGACCTTGTATAACGAGGACCTCCGTTTGCGTGAACATCGCGACGGAACCCTTTGCATCTTCCTTCTTTCAAAAACACCCGAGTTTTTGTTTTGTTTCACGAGCTTTACGAGGCTAACGAGAAAATACTTTTGCAAAAGCAAGCTCTATATGACCCGACCTTGCAGCTATAGGTTCGAGAACACAGACATTGGGTTTTCGGATCGAGGTAAAATTGATCCTCTTGGAGTGGTAACACAGCGGAGGCTTTAGAATTTGACACCAAATTATCTTCCTCTTTTTTTTTTTTTTGTCGGATTGTTTTATAGGCTTACACTCCGCGTTTTCCGACACCAAGTGTGGGCACTGCGCATGCGCAGAAACCAGATTCGCGATGCCGAAACTCAAATAAGTGTAGGTCCTCGAGCTTACACTAGTGGAAGGCTATTTTCTAAAATGTTTTTTTGGAAGTTATCTCGACGATTTTCGCCGTAGCTGCCTGAGAAAGCTGGCTTTTTTCCCGTGGTGTGTTACGCTTAGTTCCGTTGCGTGTTACGCTTAGCCTTCTCGCCGTCGGCTTGTAGCGGTGTTTGTAGCAGTGGCGGAGGCCCAGAAAGCGAAGACCGTTGCCATACAACCGTCCAAAATTGATACCGCGATTGCTGCCTGCTTTGGATTGCGCGAAGGGCCCCTGTGACCTCTTCATCTATCTCCGTAGAGGGGTCCTTTTTATCCTCCTAATGCTAGTGTCCGTTTTTTTTTTTTTTTGTGATTGGACGACGATGATTTGTGATGTGCTCTGATATCTAGTCAAGTGTGTTACCTATTTTTTGTTTTGTTTTGACAGTGCGGTACCCAACGGTTCTAAGTAATTCCAACTTTTCGAAGAAAGAAAACACGTTATGCTTCTTTTTAGAGTAGTCATTTTTTTTCCAATTATTTTCGCGTTTTAGTCACACCATAGATGTAGTGCTTTTAGCTCCAACCATTTTGGGTGGAAGTCAAGACAGTGATGAGGGTAGACATCAGTATGACGCAGGTGTTTCCTGTGGTCGGATATTCGGCGAACCTACTTTGATGCAAACTTTAGTATCTTCATAAGCTTTGAGGTTTCGTTTACCCTTGGGAACTGTTTCGAAATCGGGTAACGGGAGAATAATAACGATATTCAGTTTGCATAGAACGGGCAGCTTGTTTTACGTGGATATTTCTTGAAACCGTTGGCTACTTTAGCAGTGCTCGATTGATTTTGGTGTTTGTGCAAGTCCGTCTTTCCTACCTGGAATGTTCATTCAGAATGCTGTTTTTTTTTTTTCTTGGCGATTTTCGTATTCCGAATAGAGGAAATGCTGAATGCGCGACTCAGTTTATCACATGGCCGATTGAAAAGAAGAGGGGCCTGTATACAAGTGTTTTAGAGGTCTGGTTTTGGGAATCAACGAAGCGTGTAGCCTTCATTTACTAAGGTACACATCGGTAATTGTGATTTGTTTTTCTTCCGGCTATGGCATGCAGTCTGGTTTTCTTCGAGAGCCCGCATGACAAAGATTAATACGATTTCTATACCCGTGTTCGCTTTAAAGGTTGCGGTGCCTATTTAGCTGACATGTTTCTGACCTTGAAACAGCAGGCCTGGGAACATTCAGGTTGTCGTGCGGTAGTGTTTCAGTGACGATGTAGCGATGCAGAGAATCAATTTAGACTTCAAAATAAATTTAGACTTCAACCTTAAGCATTCCACATCCGAGCATAGACTTTCCACGAAAGCTGTATTCCCATATGTTCTGTGTCGCAAGGTGCAAAGAGAACTTCCATTTTAAATCCGCTCTACGCCAAGAGAGAGATAGAGGTAGATGTTTGGACCAACTGCAGTGTGTTGTGGGAAGGGAAAGTTTAGCCAATAGCATCACTCGAGGAACAACCAACTATTTCTAAACAAACTTCGAGACCTCTGTCTCGCCTTTATACTGTGCCCAAGTGCCAACTTTATTTAGAAATCTGTCCGGCAACATTGATAACGGTGCCTGCGCAAGAACTATATTGTGCCAGCTGCAAAATGTTCACAACTTGATGTCCAATGTACCATTGCTCATGCGCAATATCGTACATGCCAGATATCTGGATTAGAGCTGTGTCTGTCTCGCTACACTTTACGCCTACTCTCGACGCGAATATAATCCTAAGTTCTACCCAAAGATAACGTTAGAAAGGCTACAACAGTGCGTCTTGAAAAAGGTTAAAAGTGCGTAGCGAAAGGCAATTTGTTATCCTCTATCAGGGTTGGGGGTGTGTGTGTGTGTTTTCTGTATATTTTTTTTTATTTGTCAATAAATTTTCACATAAAGGAAGGTATCCACCAAACAAAGCTAAGGCTTGTATCACCACTAACGCCTGGGTCCGGGAAGTATCGGCGACGTACAACAACGAATAAGCGCGCTTGTATATACAGATATGTACAAAACATACTTGGAGAAAGCAGGAATGCTTGCACCTTTTTGTTTTTGGAAGCTGCATGCAATAACTGAGAAGAACTGCGTTACCTCGTCAGGTACACGGCTAAAATATGCAAATGTACCCCGGCGTCTGTCCCTGTTGTACTTTACCGTAATATTGCTCTCCCTGGAGTTGCGACTCGGGCATCTACCCTGCGTTTAATTTCTTCTGCGCTGTGCTGTGTCATGAATGGCTTTGTAAGCTGGGGTGGTGAAGCGGCCATCCCCAGCCCAATATCTGCCTAGAATACTTCCACGATTTTTTGGTAATGGGCGAAGATATGTATGCGACAAGTTTTTTTTTTTCGGAATTATTGTTGAATACACAAAGCAATCTTTAAAATTCAATCGTCGTTTTGTGATGGGAGCAAAGTTTAACACACAGAATGAGTTTCTCTTCGCATGAGGTATCTTCTGAATTTGAAAATGAATGAATTTATCAATCACTTCTTTTATTGCGCCTCCCAACAGCAAGCAGGCGTTATCAGGGTCTGCTAGCTGTACATAAGGTGAAAAAAAAAAGTTTAACGAGTAATCATTAGTTAACACTTTTCTTAATCATTCCGAAGTTAGTGAAGAATACCGCGTCAGAGACTTTTTTACGTGAAAGTTTTTAAGTTGCGTGCGTGTTCATGGAGGACCAGATTTTAAGCCACAAGGGTAAGAAAGTATAATCTACATCCAAGAGAATAGTAGCATAGAACGTTGTCGTGAACATGCCTTCACTCATTCGAGAGAAAAATGGTTTTCGTCCAAAAGGGTATGGTGGAACCGAGAATTTACGAGAATAACCTGCAAGTGTGGACAAATGTCTCCGATAAACGGCTTTATCCGACAGCTTATTTGATGACGTATGGTCGGAATTCATTTTAATTAGTTTCTTAAAGAGCTTTGCCTAAAAGTAAACAAAGTCCAGGAAAACCTATCGTTCGTTCGAATATCCATCTCTTAACATCACTAATTGCAATATTACTATTTCCAATATAATTAATTCCAGTATTACTATTTACAATAAGAGTTTATTTAGTGTTTAAAATTATTTTCACGGAAAATAGCAGACAAGGTTTTATTGATTGTTTTGGTCTTCGGTGAAATATTTATATGATTAAAATGGCAGAACCAAGGGTAATACTTTAGTCTTAAATAGTATATTTGCATAATTGCATAATTTTATTCATATAATATTGGTCAACATAGAGCTCTCACTGACGGAGCGTACGTTGGCCCGACACCTTTATGGTGTAGTGCTACTTGTGGTTCTTACTTGCACCATTTTCAAGACTCAAATCAGCCTGCTCTTGAAAGACGTCATGAGCATTGACACATACATATATCCAGTCCTACATTTGACGCCAGCACAGCGTTGAAGCTAGTTGTTGACTATAGTAAGTTACAGCTCAAGAACGTAGGGCGAGGGAAAGGAAGGTTGCTGAGGAGGAAGCAGACGCAACGCTGGAGAAGAGAAGGGGAAACCTCCTCCTCTCTTTAGCACTCCATCTGCTTCCTCCTCCCCGGTCTTCTTTTTTCTCGTCCTACCTTCTTGATTTGCAACGCACTAGAGTCAAAGTCAGTTGTGTGGGTATTTGAGTCTACTGAAGCAACCATATCTAAATTTTATTCAGCGCTCATTGAATATCTAGCTCTTGTTTGGAACCTGTGTCAGATTCTTTTTGGTGTGTTGTTATATGTACATTTCTCACACTCCTTGAGACGCGATTTTGTTCATTGCAACGAAATTGAGAAAATTTAGATTAGAGTTTCAAGTGATTGTCGCAATCCTTTCTGCGTGGATGTGGACTTTTCTCCTGTAGGCTTGCTGAACTGCGATTTCATACCCCCCGGAATGAGACATGGAAGAGCAGCAGTGTTCGCGACGCTGATGGCGAAATAACACATGCGAGGTAGGGTATGGGGTATGGAAGCATTGTAGAGGAATACGAAAATGATATTTCTTTCCTAGTTCATCCTGTTTTTAGTGTTCTTTGATTCTTACCTTGATGTCCTTTTCGACAGCTATTTGAAATGTAGAAGTATCCTTACGGACCGTATTCTCAAACAGTTATTATTTGAAATTTTATCGTTATCTACACCGAGTTGATGAGTTTATGCACCCGTGTTATCCTAACTTAACAAACGTTTAGAAACGGGTTGGGTAGCGTCCTCTCGAAGAGTACCTCAACAGTTTAACACATCCCTCACACTGCGTGACATAAACGTTTTCTAATATGTAACCTCTGCACAGTTTACTGAAATTTCTATGATTCACGTATTCCGTCATTAAAAAATATCCTACACAAACCCCAAGTAGCTCGCGCAGACCTGCTACTTTGAGCCTTTTAAATTTCCAAATAGTTTTCTTGATGTTATGCATTTGTTCGTTATACAAGTATTCGTTATACAGCGTGACAAAATGTTAAATGGATTGCATCAAACATGTTCATACCTCGGTGCAAGTTTGCTGAAAGCTTTAGAGATTTATCGTCATCCGTGTACATTGAGGTACGCCAGCACGCTGTTTCGGACCGCAAAGCGAAAGCTGTAGGTGTAAAACTGAATAATTACTCTCCCATTATAAAGTTGCGTCATGATGACGCCATCTTACGTCCTGGTAATGCATCCAATGACACAGGAGGCCATTAACTGCAGGCTACCTTGTTTCTTATTTTGCTATTCTGGGCCTTTATGGTAGCCAATAACAAAACAAATGTAACCCTCGCCAATGCGAATTTTTTCTGCTCGAGACGAATACACGTTTTTGTACCATGAACACGGCGGGATTTCTCTGATGAATAAGTAGCCAAAGTAAGTAATAATAATAAATTTACCATTCTATGGTCCCTTTTGGCCTCTCGGACACCGGTAACTAAGGGTGCAATGTACAACCAAAGCCATTTTTTTATTACCTTTTACTTTGATTCTATTATTGCGAGTGTTGCTTATAGTTTAACCGTGAACCTCACGCTCTAGTAGTCTCAAACAGTTGGCCAACTCTTCTCGCAGACACGACGAAAACCAAATGTCTGACGACTCCGCCACGTCATTTGACAACTCGTTTCGACGAACATGTTCGTCCTTGTCGCTTGTTAGTGGCGGCGAAGTGCCATACCAACAAATCGTTTTTCCCCACTTCTGTGGAAAATTTTGGCCGACTGTTTTCTTACTGGGAACAGATCCTTGGAAATGTACCGTTGTTTTTCCAGTATTCTGTTTTGTTGTCGTTTTTTCTTCTTAAGAGCGATGCAACGAATGACGTGTCTTGTTATAGTTTTGGGCGAGGGAAGCTATTGTGCGCGGTTGTTATAATGGTCGCGAAGGTCAACCTTTACTCGCGATTTTCGAACATTTCTCACTATCTTTACTTCCTTCTTTTCTCTTTCTTAACATTAAACTTAATGACGATGGCGATGCATGATGGTTAGTGTGGCTGTGTGCCGAAGGGCTGTTGGGTGTCGTTCTCGTGTAACGAGCGTGCAAAAGGGTACAGAATGCGACAGTCATGCTCCTAGTCAAAAAGTTGCGTGCAGTTTTCGATGTTCTCAATGACAAGGAAGGGAAATTGTATTAGTCTAGAATCCGGCGTTTATCGGTGAAATGAGGGCAGTGCCTTCCATCTAATCAAACGATAAGATCCTAACACGTCATTTGTGTGTTCGTTCGCTCTGGAAAGGAACATGGAGACATTACACGCGTTATTCTTAGGCCGTAGACTTCGCGATTTTTATTTATCAGGGAAATCGGTTTGTATTTATTTTTAAGATATTGCGATGTATTTCGGTGATCTGTTTTGGGCGGATGCTAAAAACGGCTATTGTCCGTGAAAACAACTCACGAAAAGCGAATAATTCTAGTCTAAGAGGGGAGGGTTCTGACAAAAACATTCCTAGCTAGGGCCAAACATCTAAAGAAATCGGCAACGAAGTGAGGGCGCAGGTGAGTTGGTGTAGGTTTACCATTTTGTTAAACCACCTGAGACTGAGTGAGAAGGTAGAAGAGACATGAAAAGAAGACGTCGTTTGACTGATTTCTTTCCCTGTTTCTTCTACTTTTGGTTGTTTCAAGGTTTTCTCACCCAGCCTCAGGTGTTTGAACAAAATGGTAACCGATTTCGTATTTTTGACACCGACGCGTGTTTGTCGGCGTTTTTCGGTTAAAACCGGGAAGTTTACGGCTTAGCTGTAGCCACTTTTTAGGCTTCACCTGTTATGGCAGTATCCAGTGTTAACATACTCGACATGAGTTCCAAATTAAGCATCGCGAACCGAAAGTGTCATTTAGTATCATCAGAGTTTGTGAGACGCACGAAACCACAGCCCTTTTTTCACCGTTGCCGACGATTAGTTTCACTTTATAAATTCCAGCCGTAGCGAGTCATGCCGAGTCTTTTTTTTTTTCCTTTGTCAATTTTTTCTTTTTGAAGATATACAAACACAAATAGCGAAAACCACCGAACAGAGCGCGTTTCGCGGGTTACGCTTTTAGGGATCAGGTTACGAAGCCACTCCAGATGAAGGATGCCGTACGGTACTTAATTTCTCTGCCGTTACTTCAGTGTCATCCAGGATTGCGTTTAACCCTGTTTAATGGCTTCAGCTTAAACACAAAAGGAACGAAAATTTCTTTTTTCGAATGCTTTTGACTAAATGCGTTGTATAAATGCTCGCGAAACAAAATTTAGTTACGGTACGGGTAGAGTATTACCACCATTACCGTATCCTAAACGTTGTTATACTGTTGTGTTACGGTAAGGGTACGGTTTAGGAAGACTGCGGTAAAAATACGGAGGTGATAAGAACTCCAATATGGCCGTGTTATCAGTTAAACAGATACACAATCTCTAGCATCAAATCTTCCCCGACAAAAAAAACAAAACAAAACAAAAAAAAAAAAAAACACTTTGTTTAAAGAGCGAACCATTTGACGTTATCTGTAGGATTTTTAGGAACATTTGCTGGTTGAGGATTGGATTGCACTGGGTAGTGGCGGCTTCATATGGTCTGGCCAAGGCGTTTGGCAGGAAATCAAAACGCAGAGCTGCAACGGATCGTCGTCTGGAATGGCTTCTACGAAGGTGTCCGCGATGGACTCACGGCATCACCTCCGCCGACCGCTCAGCAACTGATTGGTCGGAACCTCGAAGGAGGGCGGGGACTGCGGACACAAATGACGGGCGCTGATTGGATCATCGGTTGATTGATTGCTTCGACCTCGGCTGGGCATCGGGAGGAGACGGTTCGAGATCGTCCTGCAGTCAACTTTAGGAAGGGAACATGACAGTGTGCAGACGAACAAGGGTGACACCGCGTTGCAATCGGAGCGCGTGGGGCACACCCCAAAACACCCAAAGCGTCTACTTTCCCGCAGAGCACTTGAGAGGGCCAGTCGCGGCGGTCATTCGCCAGACTTTCTCCGTATAGATTCCAGCCATTGGCTGTACCAGGTGCTGTGCGGCAAGGTCGACGTTCCAGATTTCTTAGAGTGCATGTTGCATGAGCAAGACAGTGTCTTCGAGTGATCGAGTTCACGGGTTGGTCGTGCGTGGAGAGAGATATGTGGTGTCTGGTTCCGTCCGCGGCGGCGCATACTTAAGGCCACTTTGCTCCCAGGGCGTGGGGACGGGCGTCGTTCATTGGTTCCGGGGGAGAGCCGAGGTCCGTCCTGAGTGAACGAATCGTTTTTCCGCGATGCGTCATCCGTAGCTTCAGTGTTTGTACGACGACAGGTGAAGTGTTCTTTCCTGGTATCCACATCTGCTTCGAATGACGCGGCAGAATTTAAGTTAAGAGTAACTGACGCATGATTTCAAGAATTTCATGGCAACTGATAGAGTCATCATTAAAACAAATCTGTTTCGCGTGTTTCTAATTTATTTTTTCTTCCTAAGTTTCCTTCCTTTTTTTTTGTTGGGGAGTCAAGATTGCGAACGAGGTCACGTTACACTATCAACAATAAAAGTTTAACAATTATTTTATAATACTGTGGTTGATTTCGCAGCATGAGTCGCTATGAGACAGGAAATATTTTGTTTCGGTTCAACCCTTCCTTGATCAGATTAAATCCTTTGTCTCAGCTCTTCCCCTTGTTCCACCAAGATCATCGTGAAAATCTTCAAGATAACCTCGGTTTAATATAGAGCCACTGGATTCTTTCGGAACACCGGATGATATATTTTTGTGCTCTCAACTTAGTGACAAATCGACGTGGGATTCCTGGTATGATAATTATGGGATATTATCCTAATATTTTAAGATAGCGATGCCGATCACTGATCACCGATATCTAATGTGTGTGACCGACCTAACTGTAGACATACAACCTAACCCATCGTTGACGGCGATGTAGAACGACGTTGACGTAAACAACCGCCTCGTATTGACCTCCGGAACGCTAGTCGTGTCCAATGGCGCGGCTAGCGTTCCAGCAGCAAATCCGTACATGGCTTGCACATGATATTATCGTATCCTGATGGTGTTAATTTCTACTTGTTGCAAGAGAAGCAATTTCGATAGTGCGAAATGATTGCTTTAGAAAGTACGCACTTGGGATCATGACAATCACAATGGCCGCTGACGTGACGCCAGTGCAAGCTGTGAATGGTACCCATACAGAGGCTTAGGTCCCCAGCGGTCTTATAATACCTTACACCCAGTACTGTCTTCTTGAAAACATCGCCGGTAGCCGCGCACCTTACTAGCTGGATTCAGAATGGCGGTTTTAAAATGATAGATTCAGAATAAAGTGTCCAAAATGTCATATTTGACATGGGGGATCGAAAATGGCTGATCCCCCGAAGGCCCCGAATCCCTGGGGGTGAAGACTGGAGTAGAACGCGGCCAATCCTGGGCGCTGACATCGGCGGTCCCGAGAGAAAGAAGGAAAAAGAGAGCGACGCAAGAGCGGAGAAGAAAAGCAGACGAAAGGTTAGGCGTGTTTGTTTTGTTTTGCCGGGATAAGTTAGCTCGAGCGCTTGTCAACTTTATTTAGTTTTATCAAATACGTGATTCTGGTTGTTTTTTTGTTTTGTTTTTGCAAAGTAAGCTGGCAAAGAACAAATGCAGACCTTACAGGTGATGTTTTGCTGCTTCTTTGTGCATATTAAGGCGTCGCCAGCAATATAGGCCTATCTGCACCGCCATATCTGGGACCGCCGATGTCTGCGTTCATACCCCGCCGTTCCCAAGCGGCCCCAATGCGTGGAACCTTTCCCTCTAGATTATTATATTAACTCTATGCCGAATCCAGTGTCTCTCTATTCGAACCGCAGAAACGACGCCGCGTATCCCGTGATGGCCCTAGTCCTCTTGCAGGTTGCCCTGCGAACCCATACCCCCGGTGAGGCTCTCGTAGAAAGTGCCCGAGCGCGGCAGCGCCGTCTGCGCCGCCGCCCCGCTGGCCATGTCGAACATGCGGTGGAAGCAGCTCTCGGACTTGGGCCTCGGGATGGCACCCCGATGGCCGACGCCCAAGAGGTGACTGTACTTCCGCCGGTCGCCGCCCCTCACCCGTCCGTCCTTGCCGACGTCTTCGTCGTCGTCTTCTTCGTCGTGCGCGGACTGGGCGGACTGGAGGAGGGCGGTGACGGTGTTCAGGTCGACTCGCAGGTCCTCTCGCTGGCACACGATGTCCGGGTTCTTGCCGATCTTGTTGAGCCGCTCGGCAGCGATGGACTCCATGGTGCGCCGCATCACCGGGTACACGTCGAGCACGGCGTTGAAGTGCTCCACGGACAGGGAGAAGAGGTTGCAGTAGGTCTCGGCGCGCACGCTGGCCACACGCCGGGCGTTGGTCAGCAGGCAGATCTCTGCACAGAGGAGGAAAAAACAATGGCTCGTCACATAGATTCGGGGCTATACCAGTGTTGACAAAGTACACAATGTATGAAGCTGGTAGAGACAGCTTGGAAGGAGCTTTCTGGAAGCCCTTGAGGCATTCCTTAGAAGCTATCTCATAGCGCAGCGTCTTCTGCCACTCTGATCCTTGTAAGAGGCTCCTTTTAAGATTAGACGTGTTGGCCAACAACAACTACAAACACACACAAACGGGAGGCTTTTGCTAAGCCTTATGGAGAGACGGTAGACCTTACGGCTCGAACATCGTGACGGGCAAGACATCGCCACGGGCAAGACCAAGACATCACAACAGCTGACGAGCAACACCAACCTTTACTCTTTCCAAAGCATTCAATCTATACACATGTTTGGAGGGCACCACTTGCTGGCCAGTTGCGGTCACACAGCCGGTGACGTCGAATGTCACCGAAACGTAAGTGAACCTTTAATCATTCATGGCGACACGTCTCTGGTTTGTCATGCACTGCGACACTATGTCGGATAGCGCAGACATTACCCAAGAAACGGTTCGAGTAGTATTAGCATCCTTATCTCAAACCCCGCGTTTCACGAGAGCCACAGACCTAGTCCGTTGCACCATAAAAACAGCGGGAATGGCTCCGCACCCGAAACAAAACGATGCCACTCGGTGCGAACGCACCGACTTTCTGACGTCACGGAAAGGACCCTATGTCTAGTTCTTAAGTTGCGACAGGCTATAAAAAATAATAGCAGGCTCACCTCCAAAATAGGACCCGTCCGAAAGACTGGTAGCTACGTCTCCGTTGCTCATCACAATATCCACGATGCCTTCCTGGATGAAGTACATCTTGGTCCCAAGCGTCCCCTCCTTGATGATGACGTCGCCTGGCTGGAAGACCTCGTACTTTAGCTTGGTTACAACGTCGTTGACGAAGTTGGGGTCCGCGTTGGCGAAGAACGGCACCGACGCCACCAGGGATCGGCAGTTGTAGTTGATTACGTCCTACAAAACATTGTTTACCAGATCATTATGCTGAAGGGTGGCTATATTTAAGTAGGAGAAAGGTAAAGGACACGGCAACGTTGGAACAAAGTAAGTTGCCTCCAACGTACAACGGGAACGTTTCCGGTGTTTACATTCAACTGCTAGCAGTTCATCTGTTGCGTACCTAGCAACCAAGCTGTCGCCCACACAAACCGGGCAGCGCGAGCCATGCTCTCGAGCAAGGGCAAGCGCGAGGCAGCGAGCACTAGGAACTGATCTGGGCGCCATACCGGTCCTGCCCGTTCCGTAGCAATAAAGAACGTGATGAATATAACAATTGGCGACGAGGAAACGGCACGAACTCTACGACGGTAAAGCCAGGGAAGCATGGCGACTCACGGCTCCGTGGAGGAATTCTCCGGCAAGGGATGGTCGTCTTGGGCAGAGCGACTGGATTTCTACTTCCAAGCTAACGGTATCGCCGACGGCGGCAAGAAGCGCGCTATCTTGCTGACGCTATGTGGACCGAACACATTCGAAACCGTCAAGGCATTAGTGGCACCGGGGACACCGAGCGACCACTCATTCGAAGAAATCGTCAGTCTGCTGCGTGCCCACTACGATCCCCGCCCGTCGGAGCTGTTCAGTCGCTGCAAGTTTCAGCGCCGGGACCAACTGCCGCACGAAACAGTAGCCGCCTACGTAGCAGCGTTAAAAGCTCTCGCGGCAGATTGCAACTTCGGCACGTTACCGGCCCAGCCTCCTAGGGTTCCAGCGTCGGAATCCACAGGGGTGAGTGCGACTGCAACTCCTACCGTTCGGCCCGATCTGAGATCAACGATGCTACCCATCGACGTAATGCTACGTGATCGTTTTGTCTGCGGACTGCAAGACGACAATCTGCAACAAAGATTGTTTGCCGAACAAGACCTCACGTTCATCAAGGCATTCGATATCGCTGTGCGGGCGGAAAACGCGAAAGACTATCAAAAGAAAATCAAAGCTGACTTCAGCGAAGTCAACAAGACCGCGCGCGCACAAACAGCTCCACCAGGGCAGCGCACACCCTGTTACCGCTGCGAAGAACTCCACAATCCCGAAACGTGCGAGTCACGCACCTCGAGGTGCAGGTTTTGCAAGAAAGTCGGTCACGTTGAAAAAGCCTGCTTCAAGAAGAAAAACAGCAACAGCTTATCAAAGGCAACTAGACGATTGCACGTTTTTGACTCCTCAGAAGAGCCACGCGATGTCGCGATTACGGAAGACAGCATTTTGCATGACCTAAATGCAATGACAGGGGTGAGGAGAGCACCCCAGAAACATATGGTATTGTTGGACGTACAAGGCGTGCCACTGCTATTCGAGGTGGATTCAGGGGCAGCCTATTCTATCATCAATGAAGACACGTATCGGGAATCATGGCCCCGTGATCTGCCACCGCTTCACCCCGCCAGCATCGCGCTGCGAACATGGTCAGGAGAAGGGTTGCAGCCGCTGGGGACAATTAATGTCAGCGTGCGCTTCAAGCAGCGCAGTGAAAAACTTCCTCTATTGATAATGAGCGGCCCAGGATGCAACCTCCTTGGTCGTAATTGGTTCGCCCCGCTAGGCATTAGCCTCAGCGGCATTCACCAAGTACTTCACGAACAGAGCCTGGTAGTCATACTTGAACGTCACTCAGCAGTGTTTGATGGCAACCTAAATGGCTTCAAGGGACCAGCGGTTACACTAGAGTTGCACGAAGGAGCACAACCTAAGTTCCTAAAATCACGAACGGTGCCATTCGCACTCCGGCCAGCCGTTGAAGCTGAACTACAACGTCTAACGGACCAGGAGGTGATTGAGCCCGCTCAACATTCGGAATGGGCCACTCCGGTCGTCGTCGTGCGCAAAAAAGACGGTAGTATTCGACTCTGTGGCGATTACCGCAGCACTGTGAACGCTGTAGCCCAAGCAGCATCTTACCCGTTGCCGACTGTCACAGAGGTCTTGGCGAAACTACGCGGCGGAAGAATTTTTTCAACAATAGACCTGACACAAGCATATCAACAGCTCAAGGTCACTGACGATACAGCCAAGACTCTGACTATTAACACAGTCAAGGGGCTTTATCGTGTCAACCGACTGCCTTTCGGTGTTTCCGCCGCTCCAGCAATATTCCAAAGGTGCATGGACACGACCCTTGCGGGGATATCAGGTATCAGTGCATACCTGGATGATATCATCGTCGCTGGGTCCACACAGGAGGAGCACAATCATCGACTAGGCATCGTTCTCTCAAGACTTGAAAATATTGGTCTTCGTGCCAACAGAAAAAAATGTTTCTTTGGAGTCCCGGAAGTAACTTTCCTCGGTTTCAAGATCAACTCAGCAGGCATCCATCCAACGGATGACAAGTTGAAGGCGATTCGTGATCTGCCAGAACCGACTTCAAAGACGACGCTACAGTCTTTTCTCGGGATGCTCGCCTTCTATGACAGGTTTCTGGAAAACCGAGCAACAGTAGCGAAAGACCTGTATACCCTTCTAGAGAAGAACAGGCCGTGGAGCTGGGAGGCTCCTCACAAGAGAGCATTCAGAAAGCTCAAGGAACTCATCTTGCAGCGGACCACCTTGGTCCATTATGATGAGTCTAGACCTCTTCTACTCTCCTGTGATGCCTCACCGTACGGTGTTGGTGCCGTTTTGGCACAGCTTGACAGCGCAGGGCGAGAAGCTCCAATAGCGTTTGCTTCAAGGACTTTGGGAGACGCTGAGAGGAACTACTCGCAGCTGGATAAGGAGGGCCTCGCCATTATATACTGGGCAATCCATTTTCATCAGTACATTGCCGGACGACACACAATCATCGCCACGGATCATCAACCACTCCTCGGCATCCTGGGACCACAGAAGCCAGTACCTCAAGTGCTGTCTCCACGCATGATGCGATGGTGTGTCAAGCTGGCTGCCTACGACTATGAGCTAGTGTATCGGCCGGGAAGGAGACACCAGAACGCCGACGCGTTAAGTCGCCTTCCCTTACATGATAGGGAGGACGAACCCTGCCCGCCCGGAGACGTGCTGATGATCGAGGCGCTGCCGGTTTCGCCGCTCACGGCGAAAAGAATCGCAAAAATGACACTTCAAGACCCCACCTTGTCTCATATCTTCAAGGCGTTGCAACAAGGAACGCTTGACCGCCTCAGGGGTGAAGAGTTTGCTCCCTACAAGAAGAAAGTGACAGAGCTGTCCACTCAACGAGGATGCGTTATTTGGGGCTCGAGGGTGGTCATTCCCACACAGGCACGTACCGAAGCAATGGATTTGCTTCATGCTGGACACAAGGGCATCGTTTCGATGAAGACGTCAGCCAGGAGCTACTTATGGTGGCCAGCTATCGATAAGGACATTGAACATGCAGTCGAAGCATGCCGAATCTGCCAGGAATCCAGGCGTATTCCGATGAGAGCCGCTCTGCCAAACTGGGAACATGCATCTCAACCATGGCACACCATACACCTTGATTTTGCCGGCCCGATGGAAGGACACATGTTCCTCGTAGTTGTGGACTCATACACAAAATGGCTGGAGGTGAGAGCGATGACCTCAGCCACGTCCACAGCTGTTATTAGAGAACTGCGTGCTATCTTCGCGACATTCGGATTGCCACGGAAGGTGGTGTCGGACAATGGGAGCGTGTTTGTGTCAAGGGAGGTACTCGATTTCTACCAACGAAACAGTGTGGAGCCTGTGACAAGCGCACCATATCATCCGGCTACCAACGGCCAGGCGGAGCGGATGGTCTTTGAATTGAAGCAAGCACTTCAAAAAGACAAAGTCGGCAGCTTGTTAGTGAGACTGGCAAGATTCCTCTACAAGCAGCACACCACTGTCACATCCTCCACCGGGAAAACACCCGCGTTGCTAATGTTCGGCCGTGAACTGGCATCAAACATAAGCCGAGTTACACCAGAACCAGAAACATGCAACAAAGGAGAAAGCGAGAAAGGAAGAGAGGTGACGACCCCTTCACGCCGCTTTGTTGAAGGGCAACCTGTGTTTGCTATCAATTTTCGCGGAAAACCGAGGTGGCTAGAAGGAACACTACTCAAGCAGCTCGGTCTTCGATCTTGGCTTCTCCAAACGCCGTTTGGAGAAATCCGCAGACACGTCGACCACATTCGAAGACGACTATCTGGAGTTACGCCTCCAACATCTGGGCCCCATAGTCTCTTGGCAAGAGGCTTATGCGAAACGATGCCGCCAGCACCGTGGTTCACAGCAGCAGCAGCTGAGGCCAGTCCTGCCACTCCGACTGTTGCTGCTGAGGAGCCGCCTGCAAGACTACCGGCACAGCATCCAACCGTTGCTGCTGAAGAGCTTCCTCCGCTTCTACCAGTACAGTCTCCAGAAGGAGCTGCACCGGATGTTCCCGTCCAAGTTGATCGGCGCACCAGCTCTCGGGCTAGGCGCCCACCTTCAAGATATGGACACTCCATCTAAGGGGGAAGATGTGTTGCGTACCTAGCAACCAAGCTGTCGCCCACACAAACCGGGCAGCGCGAGCCATGCTCTCGAGCAAGGGCAAGCGCGAGGCAGCGAGCACTAGGAACTGATCTGGGCGCCATACCGGTCCTGCCCGTTCCGTAGCAATAAAGAACGTGATGAATATAACATCATCCTAGATAGACAAACAGCTCGGAAGTCAAATGTCAACGGTGGGACGTCGTAGACTAACGCTTACTGCAGGTGGCTCTTCAATTTGTGCTGGTTATTGAACGCCAACAGAACCCAAATATTCTTCCATCTGTCGTGAACGATCAACTGTACAAAGTTATGGTGACTTCAAGATACACTTAAACATATATGGCAAAAACGACGCCGGTTCTGCAGTGGGAATAATACTGCAGGATGACTGAGTATGCCATCGTTTTTTTGAAGGGAACGGTTTGGTGAACGTTGGTTATCGATTGGTCTTGTGTCTTGACTTTAGTTGGTTTGATTTTATTTAAATAGAAAAACCATGACGCTATGACTACCGAGCCTTGAACGTCACACTCTGCCTCTTCATACATACTAGTGCTAGAAATAGCCTCCTTAAGGCTGAGGTCCAACGGCGGCCATCTTGAAAAAGCTTAAAATTTGACCCTTAGGCGGCGACACCGGTCCGTGTGGCCGAGAAACTGTGGTGTGGCTTGTGGCACCGATGTTTCGGCTAGTAAATCGCGTTCAATCAAATCTAACCTTGTGCACGTTCACCGCGTGCTCTCACCCGCGTCACGCAGTGCCAGCGCTGCCTAGTTTGCTCGGCTGCCAAGAAAAACAAGCTAGCCTAGCCAGCGAAACAAAAATAACATTTTTGAAATCGTAGAGGCGCACAATACCGGTAAGGTTGCTGTATTTTAGTCAAATGAGCACATATTTCACACGATTGTAGCTCAAATAGAGGACATACAACCAAAATATTATATTTCTGGATTGTTTTTTTTTGTAGTCGACTATAATCTCTAAAACAAAAATAAAAATAAAAATTTACAAAATTGGGGTTTTTGGTCAAATCGATTTTAAACTTTCAACATTTGTTATTTCTCACAACCTTTACGTAAAGGGGGTGGAGAGGCTAGTCAACAGATCATAACGCTATTATCATATATATAATGGGCTTGCTTTGGACTTTATATAGAGCTAAACAAAGGAAATGTACGTTATATACAGACAAAGTAAGGACCTGTTAAAGTTGACCAGCAATCGACCTGAACGACGAGTTTAACTTTTTTTGTTAGAAAAAATAAAGTTCCTAAAAATATTTGAATACATCAAGGTATCTTTATAATACCTACGAAATGAGGATAAAAAGTTAAGATGATGGAAAAAGAACAGTGGCGTCAGCAGTTGGTGTCAAACGCGCGACCTGCGACTGCATGCCGCGGCAGAAACATACTAGTTTCTGCCGTGGCATTTTTGCGCCCTTCATTTGAGAAATGTGCCCGAAACATACATATATATATTTTTGTCAAAATTAAAACTTAGATTTTTTAGCCTGATATAGATTTTAAAGCTAGAACCTTAAAAAAAAAAAAAGTTTACTTTTTATCTTGGAGCGGAGGAAAAGCAATTTCCCTTCGTCGTCGCTATCATATAGTATAGTTCAATATTTGTACCTTTCGTGGTGTCGGAACACGGCAGACGGCATTGAATAGCTTATTTATAGACGCTTTTAGGTAGCTAGCTGTGCATGGGCGCCGCCGTCACCGACATTCAGTTTTCGTTTCCTCTTAATGCGTTCGCTTCACTTCATTATTGCCACGGCAGGAGAGGTCATTGCCATTTTAGGTGCTATTGTGTCCTTCTCCTCAGCATAGGCCGTTGTGGAAGCTCGCCAACGCCCGCTTCAGTGACTCGGCATCTTGGTAAAACAAGAGAAGGTCGGCAATGGCGGCTCAATCTGGCGCGTGTGCGAATCGTCTATTTGCACTAGGTGTTTTCGAGAACTTGGTCGCGACCCTTGTGACGCGGTTCTCGATTTTTGTTTTCCGCAAGACTAACTGCGACTTACTGCAAGAACGAGGAAGTAGCGCGAGGAAATGTATGAGACGATAATCCTCTGCGTCAGGGACGGAATCAACGCCCACTTTCCTTGAACTTCTCAACCTCTAATTTCAGCCACCTTTCAAAAGATGGCGGAAGTGCGCGTCGTCTGCTTCAACATAGGTCCTTTTTAATATTGAGGACAATTAGTACGCTTTCAACAATTAAAATCGTGGAAAGTAATTTTACTTAGAACGATAAAAGCTCTAATTAAAGCATCATTTACGCAACTGTCCTCTTCTCTGAAACCGGCTTCTTGCGTACAGAGTCGAGCTTCAAAATAGTCTCACGATTTAAAATTATTTTAAACAAATCTGAATATGAACACAACCAAAACAGCCTTATGGAGAACCAGCCCAGTTCCTCTAGCATACAATTAAAAAAAAAAAAGAAAAGAATGAAATCAGGTGTCGGGACGCTATTCCAGAAAATTGAGAACGCGTGAAAGAAATTCTTTGAAATTTTACCAAATCAAATAATGTTTACAAAAAAAAAAAAAAAAAAATGCTGCTGGCGGGTTATTTCTAATATATTTTGTATGCTGTGTTCCTATGTTCACCAGGAGCATGCCCTTAAATGTCATTACTGCGTTATGATGTGAAACTATAAGTACGACACTTCAAAATCGCATAAAAAAGCCACCTTTCTAATAAATATTTAAAAACAAAATGTTAATGTACTATTTAAGAAAGAAACGTAAGTACAGAACCGCGCCCGAGTCCTTCATCTATTCATTAAAAAAATAGGAACGCGACTTAAATGCATTACAAGTCTAGAAACTTGGAATGCGTGGAGGTATGTCTTTGAAAGTATCAAAACTTGCAATTTTTGTTTTCTTATTATGCGTTAAGTTTTGAAAAATGCATGTGACATGCTGCACTAAGATAGTGCTGATGAATTGGCCAGTTATTTGTGCAAGGACGAACTACGTGGCTCGCGCACAGACGCGACGTTTGCACCACAAACCGGAGCGTTAGCACAGCTGCCACCGGTATTATGGTTGGGGCCGTGGGACCGCCGCCTTAAATAACTTTTTTTTTAAACTTTTGTTACTAAATTACAGAGACAACACTGTAGCGTTTAGCATATCATATTTTGTCTTTGACTGCTCTAAATTTGAGTTAAATGAAAAGAATTAAGCGTCCCTACCGAAAAATCCGGTATAACTTTTCACTATCCGGATTATGGAACCGGAAATTTGTTTCTGGAAACCCGAAATCCAGATTGCAGACAAAGGAATGATTTCTGAAAACTTAAATTCTAGATAGAATCCGGATAGAATCCAGATAGATTTCCGGTTCCATAATCCGGATAGCGAAAAGTTAAACCGGATTTTTCGGTAGGGTTGCCATCGATATGGTGCGAGATGAGCCTCGTATACTTGTTGAAGATTTGCTTACCTCTCGTAGCCTCTCGGAGAGCTCCCCGAGAATGGCCTCCTCGTCGAAGAATTTTCCCTGGTAGCGGTGCTCGAAGTAGTCTGTTATCCCTTGGCGAAGACCGCGGGGAAGCTTGCGGTACGCCATATACTCTTCGACTTGCTTTAGCTGGGGGCGGGAACGAAAGATTCAGCGACGGGGCCGGCACTGCCACGGGTATCTCCCCAAATTGTAATTCTTTCGAGGCTTCTTTATATATGGTGTCTCTCACTAGTAGCATGAGGGCCACAGAGTTACCTATTGTGCGTCTTACCCATTCATGCAGTTAGCAACCGGCGTATCAGCCTCCGGTTTTGACCGAGTTGACCAAGGGACGTTTTTCTAAGAAACTTGGTCTATAGTGCTTTGGGAATTAGCTGTCTTTTAGCAAAACCTCGACATCCAATTTGAGGCTTGGGTTTTCCAAAGCTCTGTTTAGGTTATGTCTATAAGCCGAACGTCTAATTACACTTTGTGACATCTCCAAGGTCTTCCTACTTGCTTTTACCACATTAGTGTTTTGTCTGGACTTCCTACAGGTTAGCAGCTCAATCGTGGAGGTGACGAAGAAGCTCTGATTACCTTTTCCCTGTACTGCCTCCTCGAGGAGTCTAATGACTGTATGAGGTTTGTGGTGTGGCCCAGGAAGAGGGCGTAGCAGGTGGCGCCGCTGATCATGCTCAGCAGAGTGAGCCACATATCCGTGAGGCTTTGGGGTGGGAACCGGCCGTAGCCTATGCACAGCATGTGGGACATAGCCTTGAACAGGGCCCACGAGTACTGCTCGAACCAGTACTTGGTCTGGAAAAAAGAAGACCATCTTTGTTGTTGGTTTCGGGAGGGGAGGAAGAGGCGCTGGGAGCGAGACGACGTGCTGAACACTAATGGCGGTTCATTCGTTCTGCCTTTCGGGCGCAGCTTTCCGCACCGGACCAACAAAGAGGTATGTTGCTCTGTCTGACGACTGCCTCAAATGCAAAACAGGATTTAGACGACGGAAGGTAGGAAATGCAGTAGTTTCTTGTTGGCTTCACTACGCCACAGTTAGGGGGAATGGTAAACGAAAGCTTGGCAAGAGAACGGAAACATAGCTGGGGTGACCTCATCTTTGCTGTTGCAAGGTTGCCAATTAGGGCTCTTTCTAATGTTTGTCAATTTTGAATGATGGGTAGCTTCGTGTGAACATAAATACTTGTGAAACACGTGATTCGCCAGTTTGAGCCATTGCTATCTTTCATGGGACGGAAACTTCGTCGAGCTGGCTTGTGGCAATGCTACGCAAGAACGAACAACCAATACTGCTCTTGAACAGTATAAAACGAAGTTTTTCGGCAACCATTTACTCATTTTCCACGGTCGCTAATTTTCACAAACACGTTTTTTTTGTGATCAGATAGCGAGACTTATAAGCGTAAACAAAGGCTGCCAAGACGTGTACCTAAAATGTTTCTGAGCAGCGTTTGTCGTTTGTTCCGCTGTAGTGGGTACAGGGGCTCGGCAGTGAACTGTGCACTCACCTCGAGTTCGTTGATGGCGACCCAGGAATTGGAAGGAAACCCCTGCAGCATGGGGACGAGAAACTGAAGGCACCCGCTCCAGTGACCAATAAGAAGCATCATGCAGATCAGGTTGAAGATTTTCATGAACACGCTCGCCATGTTGAGGAACTGCGATGGAGGGAGCGGAAAAGGAGGGACAAAAAGGCGATGACGTCAGAGATTGGGATAAACATGATGGTAGTGTTGGGAACCCCGTTGAACGGTGTGTAAAAGGAATAGAGTTAATAAGGTGGAGTTTTATTTTTTCCGAGAAATGCGCTTGGGCTGTCTTAAGATCGTCTTCTATCAAGAGGTGCCAGTATTGAGTAGGTGCCTTCCACCAGGCAGCGCCTCGAGCGATTTATTTCTTGTGCCTTATTCAACAACCCGAGCCAATATAAAGATTAAACTAAAATTTCATTAACATAAATATATTTTGTTTGTCGCATACAAACACGGGCTGTTCTGCAATATGTAGCAAATTCCAAGGTGTACGTCATATTTTTTTTTGTTAATCAGCGTTTGAACGCATGGACGTGCAAATTCATGCCAGCCCGTGATTCAGGTGTCAGTGTTGCCAAGCCGGAATTTTCGTACCAGTAACTGTTTTCAACAATAAAGACTAGTGAAAAATGGGAGAGAGAGGGAAAACCTATTTATTTATCTTTAGTTTGACATCAGGTGTTTTTGAAATTTTAGTTTGATAAATGTACCACCTCTAAATGCAGCCGCCTGATAAGCTATTCGTTTATTCGTCACACCGCAGATGCATAGGCCATCCACAGGTAATTTTCAAGAAAAGCGAAGTTATACTCCGGCTCACCAAAACCGCGCAGTACATCCAAAGCTACAGGGGAGAGAGTGTATCCCGTCCTGTTCAAGAGGAGGTAAAGAAGGAACGGGGAAATCCCAGCCCTTCTCTCGCGTTCCTCCTTTCCCTCTTCTTGAACAGGTTGACATGCGCTTTCTCCCCTGTAGATTTGGCTGCACTGCACGGTTTTAGTGAGATTAAACTGTGCTTGAACTTAAACTTTAGTTTAAGTGTAAGCGAAAGCGTAAATTTCGCTTGAAGGTAAAACGTTTGGAACATCATAAAGTTTCAAACCTATTTGTATGCACGCGCAGTAGCGTGATGAACGCATTTTCTGAAGGTACGCTCTAGGGCATGTGCTTGTGGCGGCTGCACAGTTCTCGTTACTGCTAGACGGAGCAGTGAAATCAGATAATGCGAGTCGAAGGCAATAGAAATGACCTAAAGGACAATCGTTCAAAATGCTAACCAACGCCCTTGGCTGTTTCAGGAGGTAAACGATATGAAAAATTTATTTGAGCGCATCTGCGTACTTATTACTAAAGAAAGAAAAGCAAAACACAAAAAGGAGACAAAGATGAACGTAAGCGGTGTGACATTGTTACCGCGAACACGATTTCGGAGCTTTTTCCAATTTTACAATGAAAGTGTTTTGGCCGACACCAGATTTCGCCGCCCAAGCGTCTTCCACATGTCCTGTCGTGTGTGTATCATCCTTGTTCCCGTTTTGTTCACACTTTTATCTTTTTATTCAGTATGAACCAACGGGCTCCTTCCTTTTTCATCGTCTAAAACAGGATCTTGCCATCACGTGCACCAACCTATTTGCCATTATAGCGTGTCAGTCCCCGACCATTTCTTTTTGCCTGAAGGGGAAGATTGTGCCAAGGGCAGTGCAGGGTCTTTTCGGAGTCTTGGAACCATCCTGGCGACACATTAGAAGGCTGTGCGAGATCCTTAAATCGGAATACTGGAGAGAGGTCAGAGTATTTGGACTGGCTCTCTGTTATGGTACTACGAGAACAGGAGGATTACCATGCCAAGTGCCATTTTGAAGACTACAAAAGATTGACGTCGCTAACAACGGAATTCATCTGGCAAGAGACGCGAATGCATCACCCTCCAAAGAAGAAAAATGCTGCCGGTCCCATGGACAATGTTACCGTCTTGGGGGGAGTCACTCTTCCAGCGGAGCTCAAGGTTGTTCTGAACAAAGGACCAAAGTACAGCCTCGAACCGTCAACATCTTGACCAGAACTGCTATATATGGTGCGAAGGGTGGCGAACAGTGCTGGTGAGCAGAACAGCTAGCGTACTATTGGTGATGGTGTGGACTGTCTCAAAGAAACTGTGAGTCGATGCCCTAAGGCAAAACCTCCTTTTAAGAGGTTTTGGATTTGTTCAAAATAAGCGAACTTTCCCTGGTCCAGGTCAATAAGGAAGGCAGGATTCGTTATATTATCAAAAGGCCAGTTACAGCACAGAGCGTTGACAGCGATAGAGAAGAACTTCAGAGTTTTGACCAAACGTTCAAAAACCTGCAGCTATTGAATTTCTCAAAGATTTGAACCTCGACAGTCTGAGGAAGGCTGTGGACAAAACAGAAAGTGGGATTTAAAAAAAAATATATTTCACAGGAAAAACGTACAAATTTGAGTCCTTTCTGAGCTATTCTGTCTGAGAAGAAGCTTGGCAGGTTCAGGTCAGCCGGTTTTTACAACGCCATTTGAAATCTCTTGTACTAAAAGGTCCCTTTTTGGTGCAGAGCTCGCTTGAAGTTGTCAAGGAACTTAGAGAAGGCTTTCAGAATGCTATCGCTGCAACATCTGTGGATATTGAGAACTTATGCTATTCCATTCCTCACAACGGACTTCTCAATGCTGTTCGAGATAAGATAGACCAGTCCGCAGAAGTAAGGTTTTAAAGTGTGCGGGCGTTAACAGCGATCATTTTTTGGAGCTGCTTGTCTTTTGTCTACAGTCGACTGCTGTCAGTTTTGACGAGCGATGTTTCATACAGAAGTCTGGTGTGTGTATTGGGTCGACAGTTGCCTCTGTTTTATGTGATATTAGCATCGTTGGACAGGCAACTTTCGGTAGCCTTGCAGATTTGCTAGTGGTAAAGACGTATAGATACGTAGACGACAATACATTTTAGATACTGATTCGGAATCGGAGAGTGCGGTCGAAAAGATTGTCGAGGTGTTTAAAGAGCTGTCAGGTGGACTTAATTTTATTTGGGAATTGCCTGTGAATAACAGCATTCAGTTTATGGACATTTTGATCATGTTTTCTGACGAACATGTGTGTTGGCGGTATTTTCCGCGTACTAAGACAATCCTTGTTTCGTTTGAAAGTGCTAATTCCAAACTCGTAAAGAGGGGGATAGCCTTAACAAGTCTTAATTAATGCAGTTTAGGAAAAAAAAACGTTTCAAACATCAGATGGCACTCAGTTTTGAACGGCATGTAAAAGGGTAAGAGACATATAGGTAACCCCCTAACCTGGTTTCTAGTTGTTGTGAGGGCCTTGTTCAAAAGTTAAAAAGGACTAAAAGAGGCAGCGAAGCGAGGAAAGAACGAAAATTCGTACAAGTCATTCCTCACATTCATACTGTATCCCATAATCTAAAAAAGGTAGCAGGCAGATACGATATTAACGTGGTCTTTTCTGCCATGTGTACGCTTGCTAGAATCTGTCCTATGTCGATAAGGCAGAAAAAAAGCACCGTGTTCCAAGAAACACGCGGTGCAATATGTATGTGTGCGACAACGCGGGGAGACATCTTGCTGACCACTGTAGGCGATGTGGGTGCAAACCTGACCTGAATTCCAAGCAGTTTTTAAGAAGGGCAAAATATAAAACGGAAAGAGAGATTATAGAGGCGTTCTACATAAAAGAAAAAGAGAAAGCAATTGCGTCAGCGCTCCGCCTCTCTATCTGCTTCAAAGTGAAAGGGCGTTTTCGGATGGCTGCCTTTCAGTGTGCGATAAGGAATGATGCGGGTTGGGCAATAATATGTGTATATATATGTGACGATGCTGCTATTAAATACCAGTTGAGAGTAAAGAACCTGTCCTGTCACGTGTGTATATTCCTTGTCCCCGTTTTGTTCGCGCTTTTAACCTTTTATTCCACGTGAACACTTTCCACCACAGCAGTCATTTTACCTATGCCCTCCTAATTAAAACAATAAAATAAAACGGAGGTTGTTTGCTTGTATTGACTGTCGCGATATGTTACATATCCGTCCTGGTTTCATTTTTGTTTTTGTCTTTCGTTTTGTTGAAGCACCTGGCTCAGATATGCGGTATTTCCGGGAAGTGAAGACAGTGGGCACGCAGGAGGACGGTCAACTTCAGGACAATTGTTTGTTTTGATACTTTCAAAAGAGAATGCATTTTACTAGAATGGTAAATGTTATATAACGGAAACGCCCGGATATGCACAAACTACACGCGTATTAGAAGTTTTTTTGTTTGTTTTTAAGCTGTAATGTAAACGAAGACATATACTGTTTTTGCTCTCAAGTTCGTCGCTCCTCTGCCCAGGCCCTGTCTACTTTTCCGGCTTCCCGCCGATCGACACGGGGTCGCTGACCCACCAGGGTTTAAGAAAAATCGAGGCTACTTGGTTGTGTGATTATAGAAATTACGTCAATTCACTTTTCTATCTTTTTTTTTTTTTTTTTTTACGAGGCGACGAGGGACGGTTAATGTTTTACCCAAGGCGATGAAAATAAGGGTTGAAAGGGAAACTTATTAATTCACGCGTTTCTCTTGGTACAACGATGATGTGTCTTGATTCGTTTATTTATATACTAAGTTATTTATTTGAGAAAGCTCATTCGGGACTTTACATATCTAGTTTAAAGTCTTAACAACCGGGTATTTCTTTAAATAGGTAAAAAAAAAAGAAAGAACCAAGAACATTAATAAGTGAACTTCAGAAAACCGTATCAGTATGCAAGTAATTTCTTTATGCGTTAATTTTGTTTTGTTTTACGAGGTTTGTCTTGGACATCCTGTCAAACATCAGACGTTAGAAAAACTAGAAAAATTACGTATGCATAGAAAGAGCGGAAATATGACTCCCAAACCCGCCTCGTCTTGTTTTTTTTTTTTTTTTTTTTTTTCTAGTTGAGGACGTATGGATTTTATCTAGTTGCATCAAGGTATTTTGTCACTGTTCTGAAGTGATTCTTTTTCTCAAAAGTAATTTGGGGGAAAAAGTAAGTTTATCTTTATGAAGAAATAAGGATAGAAAGTGCAAGCGCTAAGCCTTGTTAGTCGCTAAGCTTATTGGTTACAATGTTGATT